TTCACAATAAAATACCTACCAAAATCAACAATAACAAGTATCCAAGAAGCTAAATGTGACAGTGTTGATAGATATTTTATTATGAAAAATTTTGTTCCACATCGTCATGTTGGGTGGCGTGTGATTAAATCAACATGCGTTCTTATTTTTATTGTATGTCTTGTTAATACACATTATTTTTATATCTTAGGTATACAAAAAAAAAAGAAAAGAAACGTTTAATTTATTTAAAAAACTTTGCTTCATTTGTTTTTCTTATTTATAGGTGTTAATATGACATTACGTATTCCAATACAAAACAAATATAAAAATAGTTCTAATGAAACTCATCATGTAACAACACGTTTTGTATGCATTGCAAGTGTAGAATTTAAGAAATTTTTTGGTTTATATTTACCAATATTTGATTTACTTTCTGTAGCTATTATTCCATTTCTTCTAATGATATTTACAAATATAGGCATAATACGTACAACAAAACATACAAGTATTTTATTCACATCACGAAAACAAAAACGAAACAATCGTCTTACGGTTATGTTATTATCAGTTATATTGGCATTTATGCTTTTAACATGTCCATCAGTTATATATATATGTATAAATCGTATTACTCGTTTAACATCACCAGGAATATTTTCTGATAGAAAATTAGTTATAATTGATTTACTTGAATCATTATGGTACACAAAACATGCATTAAATTTTATATTATATACATTAAGTGGACAAGATTTTCGAAGAGAATTTCGAAAATTAATATCATGTTCGAAACGAACAACATCAAATACATTACGATATCAACGACGACAACGACAACAACATCAACACAAAGAAAGTAATCGTGCCTCAATGCATACTTATAATTCTTCTCGCCGATCACCTTCAATTAATACTCATTTACATAAATTGAAGAAAAAACAACAATACTATAAAGGAAATAATCAATCAACAATGGCATATTCAAAAGCAACACAAAATAAAATAATCGATGATGGAGAAAGTACTCTTGCTGGTGAATGTGGTTTGTTTTCTGCTACTTCAAATGTGGTATCACCGACAACACCGTGGTGAACACGGAAGAACCTCATTATAATAATTTTGAATATGAAAATAAAAGTTCTTTTGTATATATTGAATACAAATATGTTTCTTGACTTACTTCCTTACGCCTTTGATATTTTATTTTTAGATTTTGATAATAAGGAAATTCTATTACGTTTCTATTTAAAAGTTACAAAATAGATAAATTAGGCTTATAAAAAAAAGATGTCTATTTGAGTTTGTCAAAATTTGTACTGATGTCAAAGTTATTCAAAAATAACTAATACATCAGAATAAATAGGTCTCTCAGTATTTTATTAATATCTCTGTCATTATCTATTATTTTGACTTGAAGTTTTTACTAAAAGACTTTTCATTAAATATTCTACATACGTGCATATAAAAATAACGAGTCGAACATTCTAAGCTGAAGACTATCTGACATGCACAAAATATATTTCATAACAATATTTTGCCGCTGTCTATCTTCTTGGCTATTGAATGTACTTAATAATCTTTTGAAAAGCTCTTGCTGAATATTTAATCAAACTTTATTTTATACGTCTTGATTAGCATGAAGTCAGACTGTTTCTTCTGCAAATTTTATCATTTTTTGTTTTTGAGAAAAAAAATGGGTTGTTTACCAAGTGTACACAATGGATTAGTATCAATAAGAACATGAGTTTCGACATGTGTACATCGCTATGTTTTGCAAATAACTTTAACTAATAATGCAGAGAAAGAATATATTGAAAAACTGAGACAAGTTCGACGCTATGCAATCTTCAGCATAGAATTGAAGAACTTGATAGAATAGAGAAGATTATTAGAAGAACTAACTGTCTAACACATAATACTTATTTTCTTCCAGAAATTCACAAATTTAATTAGCAGTGGAAACTTCAGTCGTGAAGCCCATTATTTTCTTCCCATCTCGTTATATGAAGACCAATCAATTTTAGATATATCATCAAGACTTTTCTTTCTACTAAATAGAATACTTGAAATCGACAATCAAAATCAAACACATCAAAAGGAGCTTTTTTGTTAAATAATGTGACAAAAGAAAAGAGAATAAATATGATCCTATGAAATCTTGATTTATTTCTTCTATATAATTATGTAAATTTTCTTTTTGTATGTTCATTATCATTCTAAATCTTTGTGATTTAATTTATTTTAATAATTTTCTTCATTTATGATCAATATTCAGATCAAACTTTTTATTTGTTACATGTTTGAATAATAATATTATTAATTCATTATTTCTTTTTCTTGTTCGTTTCCTAAACATTGTTCATACATGTTCAAGATATTCATATCAATTGATATAACATTCTTGGATGATTTAGAAATATGTTTACTGTTGTCTTAGATAGGAAGTAAATACAGTTGTTTTTGAGTGATCTAAAAATGTGTTATATACAGTGCAATAATGTACCGAATATGCATGGTAAATAAAAAAAAAGGTGTTTATTATAACAACAATCTTAGAATACCAAGAGTAAAATGACATTCGTATTTGTTGTTGACATATTCAAGTGCAATAAGTGCTCTATGATTAAAAATGTCATGTTTACAGAAACTATTTGCTAAAGACAAAAAGGAAAGATAAATCATCTGTAACAATTATTAATAAGCTTGCCTGTGAAGACGAGCGGTCATGAGTTTAACCAAAGATGCATATCAATTGAATAACTGAAAACTAATTGAATATCATTGAGCGGTTCATCTTCGTTTCAATTATAAGTCCTATAGAGTTGACGAATTGCAAATTCAATGTGAAAATTCTTAATGAGAATTTTTTTTCCACAAAAAACTAGTCCCTAGAGCCCATTGGGTGGATTTCGGACCTAACGAACTGCAGTGATTCTCTTCACTTTGCGCGAACGAAGTATTTAGTGACATCAATTGGTTATGAAACTAATAGTTCTTTTCTGGAAATTCGTCGATGAGTGGGTTATAGAATTTTTTCGAAAAATCCAGTAAAATTTCGATAACCCAAGAACGAAGATCCGGAAAACCAAACCATTCTATACTTTTTTATTACGTACTATTTAGGAGATATTCAACAAACAAAGGTCAATTATAGCTCATTTGGCAACTTAGAATTCTCTCTGGGTCCTGATATCTATAAAGTCAACTTTTTTATTATTTGAAAGAGTATTTCATATTGCAGTGCCTAAGGGAGTCTTTATTTTTAAACTCTTACTTTTTATGCAGATAACAAAGAACTAACAACTTCAATACCTCGAAAAACTATGAAAAAATAGTTATTTATATATAGAAATGCTTTTCTTATATCATAATCAAAAAGTTGACATTCATCTTAATTTCGATAATTAATTGTTAAAATGATTTTCAAACTCAATTGAATTTTTTACCATATAAATTTGATTATTTTGAAGATTATCCGATCGTTTTTTTATGTACAATGTATAGAATCAGCGTATCTACATGGATACCCTGCTTAGACATGGGCAAAATCGACTTTCTTTGGAATTGGAATCGCATCGAAATCGCTTTCCAAATACGGAATATCCAGTAAGTCATTAAAGAAAAAGAAAATTGTATATTTCTATTACCGTTTTATGGGAGGAAATAGTTTTTGCACTCGTGATAGAGAACAGTTCTAAGTATTTATTCATAAGCAATAAGTTCTCAAATATTCCAAGAAAGTAGCACTTCTGAAGTCATTTTTCGAATTTCTTCAACTTTCTTTCATTATCATACGCTTGTAAACCCGGAAAAGTAGCATGCTAGTTTACTCAGTTTACCATTGTACATATTAATTTTAACAACTCAAAAAAGGACTTTGAAAGTTTTACTCTAGCTGCACTTAGTGCTAGAAAAAACCAATCATAGCTTGTTAAATTGCAGAATAACAAAGAAATTTTTGATACTATATTTTCGCGCAATATGTTCAACAATGGCAAATAATTTTTTTTGTGCAAAATGTATTTCGTGTCTTAGTCAATCAAGTTCCGGTTGATTCTTGTTATCATAGTTTTTCGAGCTCTATCTCTAGTAAAAATTTGGTGGAAAATGATTCACAACTTCATCTGGATTTTCACATGTATCGAAACTTTTGACGGGTACTGTATATATGTGTATATATAAGATGAACAAAAATATCCAGGACCACAGCAAAAATAGACAACGCGTGACTAGACCAAGGTCAGACGGCTAGACAAACAAAGAAAGAAAAATTGGGTATTTTTTAAAGATTGATTTTTCATCTTCATTCCATCATTATTTTCAAATTAATTCATATGCAAATGGCTTCTGCTATTCATAAAATTGATGATAATCAAGAAATAGCTGAATATATGGAATATTTATCTAAGAATTATTTTGGTAAAATATTGCCTAATTCAATTATTTCTATTGAACCAAAACCTAAAACTGGAAAACAAGGTGGTCTCATAGTTGTGATTCAATCTAATGAAACTAATTCAACAAATACCACCATTAAAGTAATATATAAATATAATTAAATAATAATTCTATATTTTTTTTCTTGAGTTTTATTTAAAAAATTTAATTAAAAACTCTTTTTTTTTCAAAAATAATATTTTAAGTAACAGTAAAAAGCTGATATAAATGCACACCAGTGCTGCCACCTTTTGAAGTCCAAAAAGCAGAAAATCATTTATAAAAAGCAGAAAATGACAGAAATTTTATCATAAAAAAGCAGAATAAAAAGCCAGAAAGCATTGTTTGTGATATAAAGCTGGTNCAATAACTTTTTCTTCCTGAGTTAAAAGTTGCGAAGAAAACTAATTAGTACATGTTGTAGAAATAATTATGATCTATCGAACCAATAATTTGCTCATTTTAGAATATTTCATTTTTTAATTAGTTTTTAGTCATTTTACATTCAACTGCATCAGACAGGGCAAACTATAGTTTCAAAAAGAGATTACATGATTGTTTAGACATTTGCAAGGTCATATATTTCATAGGTATTTTCATGTCATTTTTCACGCTAAGTCTGATTAAATTATTGCACTCTAGATTTAAGTTAAAACAAAGCCGTTATCACTTTCACTTTTACAAAAAAATCAATTTTTTTAGGCATAATATCGAAAAAGCAAAAAATGCATGTGTATTGTATTTCGCCTATATGCTCACGAAAATAGTGCCAAATATTCAATCATTCAATACGAAAATGAGCAGCTCAAAAACTCTACAAGTTCTGCAAAGTTTCAACAAATTCAGACCTGCTAATCCAAGTATTTCACCGGTTTTGAAGATCAGGTTCACTAAAACTCATTGAGGAAATTGTCATCAAAAATAGTTTTGATGCTCGTGTGCTACCAAATTGCAGTCGGAGAGAAAGATAAATAGCGTACGTTGTAGAGCAAGAGCTGCTCTATCGAACTAGCTATGCCACCATTTCCGTTCATCCCGACTTTCTGATCAACTTTTTGAAATACTGTTGGTCAGAAGCACGTGACAAAATCAATCAGTAATTTTCAAAAGGAGTCTAAAATTCATAGTCAGTCTGAAGCCGTTTTTTACGAGGAATCTGAATATGCCATATGGTTTTAAAATCGGAGCGAGAAATTATGTTCTAACGTTTGTATTTTCATTAGAGGATGACCTTTATTTTTACCAAAATCTTGAAAGTCTCAAAATTGTATTTGATTCATATCTCTGTGATAATGAGGTTTAAACCTAAATATTTTTTTATCAAAATGATCAGCGCAAAATTCTCTGCAAATTCTGAAAGTTTGAAAGCATTCTGACATGGTCACTGGATGGGCCTGGCGACTTCCCATGGATTTACTCTACACTTAACATAATAAAATTCAGACTGTTAGATGAAATTCTTAATCAAATAAACATATATTTATTAATTTTTTCTCAAAAATATATTAACGATATCTGATAAGTTAAAAACAGTAAATACTAGTAAAAGACGAATGAATTTTTTATTATTTAGTGATTAATCATATGTTCGAAGAGAAAGAAAGAGAGATATAAGTTTATTTTGGAATTGTTAGTAAAAATATTTCGGATTTAGGACAGTTGAAGTTGAACTAGTATTTGATTCCTGGACAAATGCTTAGTAAACAGATCTCAGAAGAAATTCGGAGAAACTATTCAAATATATTATATCATCAAATGTTCTGCAGCATTAGACTAAAAATAAAAGCAGTAATATTGAACAATAATAATCATAAATGAACAGTAGACTTTCTCAAAGACAGCAAAACAATTGATGTATTTTAATTGAGAATTAACGGAAAAATATAAACTGTAAATTAGGTTTTGTAATTATTCATAGAACAATTTGCTATTTTATACCATCTATCATAGTCATATTTATTGAGATACTCACACTGCTAATAAGTTTTAAATAATTTCTTTGATTAATATTAGAGATAAAGGGTTGTATATACGTAACGGATCCTTGTTTTCGATTTTCAACAGAGTAAGGGAGATGAGTGTAAAGACAACACAATGATTTGTACAAGGAATGGTACAGTTTTAAATGTTCAGAACATTATCATAATTAATTCACTTATGAAATGTTATCATTACATTGGTATATACAGATCTTAATCTAGAAATTTTTTTTAATGATATATATGGATCTAAATATATTCTCTTCAGATATCGAGCTTCAAGTTATCCTTTATTATATATATGTATGTCGTGTCGAAGTCATTTCAGATCAACTATAAACTAAATAGTTATTAAATAATTGATGATGTCATAGTAGAAATGTATATTTATAGCTAATTTTGCATTGTAACAACGTACGTATAGTTTTATAAAAATGAATAAATTATTTAAAGATTACTCAGAAAGATTAAAAATTACACGTTGTTGACACTTTCCATAATTATTGTTCAACTTAGACTACATTAAGTTCTGTATTTGATGAAGGATCTCTGAAGTACTATGACTCAGATTCGGATCAGAGACCAAAACTGAATCAAGATGCCTTTATTCGGTTTGTTTCTCTGGATCAGCATTCAATAGGAGAAAAAATGAAAAGAAAGATCAAAAAGAGACTTGAAAATATATTCTTTCAGTGTGGATGACACAAACTGAACTAACTCAATAATATAACATGAAACACATAATTGACTTAAATGAATTACATAGATATAAAAAAAAAGAATAGTAATTTAGAAGTTATAAAGAAATCTGTCTAACTGGTGTAAACAGAAGTGTTAGGTGTAAATGTGTAACGAAATGACGCTGATGTATATTATAATTGAAATGTTGTTTGATAAGTTTATGGCTCTTTTGATCAATATTTATCTACAACCTCATAGCAATCATTTCCTATGATAAGTTTCAAAGGAAAAAAAATATTCTAATGTTTAACGATCGATGTTTATAAAACAAAAGACAATGGATTTGTGATAAGATAGAGATTTCTGAGTGATATCTGTCGGTCATTTTTCTTGCATCTGTTTAACTTGTTCATTTCAAATAAAACTTTTTTATTGAAACAAGCTTTTATTCTTTTAGTATAAAGCACTTTGTCTAATTTTCGTATCGATTAGCTTTTGCTCGTCCAATCTTGAAAGTTTAGAAAAGGTGACTAGAACTGGATAATAGAAAAGTAAACAGCTTAGCCAAAACAAAAACATCAGAACATATGTAGTATATAACATGTGCGAAAACAATAATATCTTTCATGTGAGCTTAAGCCGAATCGAATCTGAATGAAGGTGTTCTCATTCGTTTTGGTCTCTGATTCAGGTGGCAAGTGAGCTTTAACTTAATAGAAAAAAAACTCATAAAAAATCAGTAAAATGTTTTGAAAACAATGGTTCGTGCCAGGTTGAACAAAGGCTTCACACACTGAAAGTTTTGAGAATTTATTGAATTTAACTTTGTACTAGATAATATCTTTTAACTGTACAAGAAGAAGCCATAGCAAAGAAGAGCCATCTCGCATCCTCGTTTCGTTTGTCCCTTGGTTTTGTCTTCACTTACATCTTTGCACACGTGCTCACCTTAACTTCATCCACAGTCTTAATATTTTACATTAAATTAATCACTAACGAGGGAACATATTAGAGTGTCCCGCCTGAGAACAAGTTTAAAATCAATCTATTTGGTAAAGGGTATGGGTGTGGCTGAGGGGGAGTGGATATGGGTGTGTGGAGTGAGTGAGGGGAAAACATATATCTACACTCCCACACCCACCCACACCCTTGGTCTCTTCGTGTTAAATATTGAGAAACATCATAATACTGAAGTAAATCGTCAATGATATGAATTAGTAGTTGATTTAGCAAGTCGAGGAACATGCGCACAAGATTAGTGTTACACTATATATATATTTTTAAATTTCACAATCTATATGTAAATCTGACATCATATTTTCCATTATACAAAAAATTAGGATAATAAACAATGTGTTATCTATCGACAAAGTACAGCATTATTTAGCTGTGATCTTATTGATCTTTCGAGTTAAATAAGACTAATATAAATGATTTACTATTATTTATTTAGTTTAGAAATAAACAAAAATTGGAGAATTGCATTGGAATCAATAGTCAATGAACAATATGATTTAAGATTGTTCTGATTTAATTTTAGTTACATAGGGTGGGTGTGGGTGTGTGCTATGAAGTGCAGAGGAATCCATATGTCTACACACCCACACCCACACCCTAGTAATGTTGGAAGATTCAAATTTGCCACATAATCAATTCAATAGTAAACGTTCTAATATGATTATGATCATCAAACTAAAACAAATTCTTCATTAATTAATTTTAAAACAGTTCTATTGATAAGATCAAACGACAGCAATTCATAAGTACTTTTTACTTTAATCATACTTGTTAACCTTCTCACAATATTGTGTTGTGTCCCTTGTATTTACAAGTATGAGAAATGCTTGTTTTAGAATAATTTGAATTATATTCTTAATTGTCATATCACATAATATATTCAAATGATTTGTTCAATCAAAAGTTATATTCTATATGTAATATAACAATTGTACGATTATTCCTCTACGAACTTTCTTTTTGAAACGTCGATTGTAGCGTTATTATGTAACTTTCACCAATCAAGTGATTCTATTAATAGTATTATTATAACGATTAACTTTAAGCATTGTGTTTTTGATTGTTTCTGTTACAACCACGTGTCAATGAGATATCGAATATTTATTATACTGGATATATACCTTATTTTCTTTTGATATTGTAAATATAGCGTAGTGTATGTTAAACATATAGTGAGAAAACGTTTTTGAACTTTTTTTCATAAACAAATATTTTTTTTAAAGCATCTTCATGCAATTTTAATGATAACAGTATGCGGTGTTGGTGTTTTATGAATGAACGTGAAAACGCCCAAACAAAAGTTGTTGCTTGATTATCTTAATAATAATTATTGTTCGTAACAAAAACTTGCAGAATAACTGATATGTGAATCTTGTATAAATATCAACTAGTACATGAAATAATTTTGTAGTTTTCTCAACAAATTCTTGCAATTTTTAAGGTTGGATATGATAGAATAAACTGAATGATAAAACATATATGTGTAATATAAATATCAAACCAAATTGATGTTAATATATAGAAACGATATGTGTTTCTTTTTTACATACGCATATAAATGTTTACATTATTCTTGTTTTTTTTTCAGTTTCAAGGAAGCTCTCAATTATTTAAACATCCTGTTCGCTTGTAATTCAATCTTGTTTTTTTTTTACCTGTGTAAAGTGTGTTAAATCAAAGACGCACACACCTACACCCTTGCCGACACTGCTAAGTTTTCTTTCTTGATTGAAAAGAAAAGTTTTCTTTTTCCTTGCAGATTCTCATCTCGACTACACGTCTAATAAAGAATAAAAAACAGAAAGTTAAGAAAACAGTAATGCCATGGATGATGAACCATTACCAACCGACAATTGTGTCATATTGCCTCATATTCCCACGCTAACGACAGGGTAAGAAAATGATAAACTAAACGAACTCATAATCGAATAAATATCCTTTCCAAAACTCTGTATAGAAAAAAAAAAAAAAAATATAAGGATTAGCATAGTTACAAATAGACGAATGATTAAAATTGTTTTTTTTTCTTCGTCATATTCTTTTCTAATATACGTAAAATTACGCTTCTCTACTCCTGCATTTGTATGTTTGAGGTTTCCCCTTGAAGGCATACTTGTTTTTTTTTCTATTATCCCTATCTTTTTATTTTTCTGTGTCAATATATCAGTAATAAAAACTACGCGAAAAAAAACCTATTCAAAAGAATAAGAATGACCTTGTATTGCATTTCTTTTAATGTATTTTGTTCAGATCAATAAAAATGGCAAGTGGAGAAGATACAATGTTTATCGTCGATGAAGTATCTCATATAGTAAAAGACGTCATTGAACGATTGATTGGTACTAATTCATATCAACATGATAAAGTTACTCGATGGACAGTTGATATTGTTGATCAAATACTAACTGAATTAACTATTTTAGATAAACGATTTAAATATATTGTACAAGCAGTAAGTAGTTCAATTTTTTGTTTATTTAAATTATTTATTTATTCTTAATAGGTAATAATGCAAAAGAATGGATCAGGTTTACATTCAGCCAGTTCTTGCTATTGGAATGATATAACTGATGGTAGTTGTACACTTCGGTAATGAAATATAATTGATTTATAAAATGATAATTTTTTTCTTTTTTTTTTTATAGTTGGGAAAATAAACATATTTATGCTATTGTTTCCGTCTTTGGCTTGTCTATTTAGACAATATTATGATTTGTTTTTTATTCTATCTGTCGACTTAATCTTCTATTTTTTGTGTGCTTAATAAAAGAAAACCGAATGTATTAGTCTTAATTTCTGAGCGCTATTGTTTTTTTTTTTGTTTGATTTGTCTAATATGAAATAAATATTTTGAAATTTTAGAAAGATAATAAATATGTGTGGACGTTTTGCTTGTGGTTTAGCACCTGACGTTGTACGTCGTCTTTCAACTTATATGCATTCTCAAACACATGAATCAACTGTACCACCATTTATTGATTTAATGCCATCAACAAGATCTTTTCGACCAAGTTGGAATTTAGCTCCAACTTCTACTTGGTATAATCGATATTTTTCTACAAAGAAAATCGAAAATCTTTTTTTTTTCGTGTGAAATTTCTTTAATTTTAGTCTTTGTTTAATTTCGGCTAAACATTTAGATGAAACAGAAGATTCATCAACACGAGTTCTTTGTTCAATGCGTTGGTCACTTGTTCCAAGTTATTACAAAGGCAATTTGAATGAATTTAAACCTGTTTTAAATAATTGTCGATCTGAAACTATTGATCAAAAACCAACATTTAAAAGACCATTGAAAAATGGTCAACGATGTGTTGTGCTTGCTGAAGGGTATATTAGATATTTATTATTATTATTATTAAAATAAATTCTTTCTCTTTTTTTTTAGATTCTTCGAATGGAAGAAGAATGTATCAAAAACACCTTTTTTTATCTATCAAACTGAACCATTTCTCAATGAAAAACATTATCCAAATATTAAGATCGAGAAAATTGCTGAACAATTCGAAAAATATAATCAAGATAAATTACCATTATTAGCTATGGCTGGTCTTTTTGAAATTAATCAACATTGCGAAGTATTTCTTATTTTAATTATTTAAAATAATTATTTAATTATTATTTAAATAGACTGAACCATTGTATTCATGTTCAATATGTACAGTAGATGCAAGTCCAACAATGCAAAATGTACATACTCGAATGCCAGTAAGAAAAATAGTTCAAATAGTTATTAAAAAAATAAGAAATTGATTTATAGGCAATTTTATCAAGTCAACATGAAATAGATGAATGGCTCGATTACGGACGATATAATACTGAACATGTAAAAGTTTTATTTTTTTTTTTAAATAAAAAAAAAAAAATTAAATACATTCATTCTTAGGTTCTTCCATTACTCGTACCGAATAATGATATTCAAATGTATCGAGTAACACCGAATGTAGGTTCAACAAAAATTAACGATATAAACAATATTCGACCGATTAATATTGATAAAGAAAAGTAACATAATGTTAAATATAGAAATTATTTATTGTTTTATTTTTTTTTTTCTAGTAAAATCGAGTCATCAAATCGAAATACACTTGATTCATTTGTAATAAAAAAAGCACCTAGTAAATATTTTCAAGATCATCTAGTCAAAGATGAAGGTAATAAAACCTTATCTCATAAACGAAATCAAGACACAATTGAAGATTATATGAATAAAGAGACAAAACCGTCGGTAAAACGATTCAAAAAATAGATCTTTCTCTTCGTTTTTTCTTCTTAGTTATTATTTTATTAAATGTTTTTTTTTCAACTTTATTGTACACTGTTTGTCAGAAACTTGTTTTGTCAGATGGAACTTTATATTAATTTAGTCAAGATGAAAAAGTAACTTTTTATTATGTATTTTGTTATTAAAACATGAAACTTTTTCTTTACATGACTTTTCGTTTTATTATATAAATACATTCTCGATTGTATGGTTTTTTTTTTTCTGTTTGCATTATTTACATCTCGAAAAGAATAGAGTGAAATAGTCTAGTCATTTCATGATCAATATACACATTGTCACAGGGCATACAATTAGTAGAGGAAAGCAACGTAATCTTTCGATGGGATAGATTAATTAAAGACAACAGATAAGAAAAATGTCAAAAGTATAGTTTGATTGTTAACATATCTAAAATTCATTTAATAGATATTACAAAATACTATGTACGAAATTTCTTTGTACTACGACGAATTAAAACAAAACTAAAGTTTAGAGACAGTTGTAAAACATTTTTATATGTATTCCGGACAAGCCTAAGCTCGCAATATAAAAAAAATATATATAAACAAGATTGATGATAAACAATAGATAAAATGCCATACGACTATTAGAAAAAAATATGACTTTCAAAACTATTGATGTAAACACGTTTTTGTGTTTAGTAAAAATATATATTTGTTTAAATTGATATGAAATTTCTTGACGAATTCGACTAGCACGAGAAATAGCAATGAAGAAAACAGTATTCACGATTGATAACAAGAATATTAAAAGTTCTAGCTGAGAATAGATTTTTCTGAGAAAAATTAATGAATGAATGTTTTTTCCATTTTTAATCAAACCATAGACACTATAGCGCACGAGTAATACGTTGCTTCGCCATTTACTGAAACTAGGCTACTGTCATTATTATTGGATTGATGCATGAGAGGCATAACTCAGCACTCGAGACAAGAGCACTACGTGATCGAGTCTCAGCAAAGGAGCGTTGTATGGACCAGTTTTAGATGTACGGGAAAGGCATACCCGATGCGCCCCCATAAGTTATGCTCTTGTGATGTGCGCATGAGAATTAAATATTCTCGCTCTTTACATCACATTCTTATAACTTTTCGATACTTATAAATAATATCAAGTCATGCTGATTCTTGCACAAAAAAAAGAAAATTTCATGCAAATTTATATTTGATGAACGATACAACAAATGTAATTTATTTAAATAATCACGCTGAGTTTAGAATAGTGCATCTTTAGATTTTTGTGTTAACTTATTTGATTTGATTGAAGTTGTTTCTAGTTGATTATTCTCTACAAGTAATGGTTGTTTCAATATCGATGAATGAATATTATTCTTCGTTTGGTCTTGTTTTGGTCTTCGACAACCAATCAAATGACATATTAAACCAGCAATAAATATAATGAGAAATATAATCGCAATACTAAATAAAACCAATGCCCATAGAGGTATAAAACCATGAAAAATATCATCGTCATCACGATAATTTCTATTCATTTCACGACCGTTCAGATTAATTTGATGACAAATATTCGAATGATAATGAAAATCTTTTTTTCTATATGACTCATTTCAATGTGTTTGATAATGAGAAAAGGATATACCTTATACAAATCATTTATATTAATTACTGCTAGGTAGTGTTGATCAAGCAATTATTCTTCTGACTCTCTCCTTTCTTTCCCTTCACAGATCGCATGATGTTCGAACAGCCTCTAGATAAGAATCATTGTCTTTTTCTGCAATCAAATTCTTCAAAAATGTTTTTTTAAATCAAACGAACTCCAAAAAAAAATGCTAATTGAAAACACGGAAATTTATGAGCACAAACGGGATATGATATTATCACTTTTTCATTATCACGAGAACGATGTGATGAATAAACATCGTTTGATTCATCCTTAGCCTTGTAAAATCTACATTTAAAATATTGCGGCTTCTGTTCGTGTTACCTCGAAGCACACGCATAAAAAATTATCAATTTATGTTGCAATGATCTCGAGTATGAAAGTTCAGAAAACACACGTCTAAAAGCGAGATGAAATTATCGAGATTGAACTGATACCATTTTTCTTCAATGCCCAGCTGACTGATGGTAACGTAACTTTCCTGACTTACAGTGAAAAAAAGACAAGCAAGATTCTAATAAAACATAAATATCATATGGAAAAAAGCACTGAGTGATAAATCTTAGAAAACTTGATTCAGAAAAAAAGCGAAGCATTGCAGCATTCTTATTAAATTTGTCAAGAATCTATAAAGTCATATTCATTTAACTTTTCGTCACTCTTTATGACACAAATATTTTACTTTTAGAAAGAACCTTGGTGAAAATTTTCTAATGATAAAAAGATAATTTTACTTCCCCCCCATATGTATATATATATATATGAATAGCACGTTTATTCGACTATAAGTGAAACAAATTGCTTTAAGCATAAGATAAAAACCAAACAGAAAAAAGATATGAATTCTTCTCTGAACTTAGAGTAAAAATGTATGCCGTTATATATGCATGTAAAAAAATCGTGATTAACGTTTTCGTTTTGGCACTGATAAAGATTTCGTCATCAATGAAACAAGTGCTTTAGTTGGATCTCCATTTGTTAATCTTAATTCTTCAATCGCTTGTTCTCGTGTAAATCCACTTTTTGTTATATGTCTTATTGTATCTTCTGGAAAAGGAGATGGTGTTGAAGTTGCCGTCGTTGATTGCTCCGATGGAGGTTCACGATGACTATCAGCTAAACAAGAAGAATATTATTATTATTAAAATCATTCTTCAAGTAAAATTTAATTATTAAAAAAGAAACTGATGTTAAACAAAAATAAACTGATTACAGTGAAAAATTACAAACAAATAGCATACTACTTGCATCGCATTATTTTTGTCGGCTGTACTGGACTGTCTAAGATAAATACAACAGTATTTTTAATTATCATTTAAAACTTTTTCAATCCTGATATTGGAATCGAAACAGCAAGCTTTATAGCATTTTATGTCATTGAAAGTTCTCAAGTCGGACAAGGTGAATTTCTCCATATTGACGTTCACATTAAATTTTCAACAATTATCGAAAGTTGTATTCAAACGAAACTTTCGCGCTTTGCAACAGGGAGTTATTAGCTTTTGGTGAAAACTAATACTAAGAGTTTCTTGTTTTCAATTAAGGATACTGCTGGTTTACGGAGTTTTTGATCCTAAGTTTTGCCTATAGATGGGTCTAATGGTTCTTAGAATGTTCCTTCATCGAGTTATTGAATTTTCCAGCGAACTTGATTTTTTTGACATGTCTATGACAAAGAGCTATTTTTGGAAATTCAATACCTTGACGAAGAAACATTCTTATCGGCTGAAACTTTCAAGATATTCTAAAAGTCATTTGACCTATCTATAGGTAAATTTTTGAATCAAAAACTCAGTAATCCGGTCATAACTTCGTGCCGAAGGCTAATGAGGACGAACGTTTTTAGGCTTTTGCTACCCTCACTGAAATTTGCCTGTTGGTTCAATATGAGCTCAAACGGATTTATAGAATTCTGAAAGTCCACATCTCAGTTTTCATTATAAACCTTTACATATTTCTCTCATAAAAAATATAAGAAAACCAGATTTTCGACAAAAGCTCACAAATATCTCTAAGATATAGTTTGATATATCTCAAACAAAAAATAGTTTGAACCACATCAGATAAAGTTTGATGGAGATCATAGTATACCAGGATTCGGTCTTATGAAAAACCAACTGAAACATTTTTTCATCGAATACGTATCTCTTTATTCCGAGTACTGTATCTGCAGTGAAAGTTTCAAATTGATCGAAATCGGCAATGGTCAAAAAGACATGCGAGATGACCTTAAGTCTTGTGAAATCAGACCACTATTTTTCTTTGTTTGATGTATGTAAAACCTATAGAAATAAAGGATAAATTCAAATATATTTACCAGGTCGATTGAACTCATCATCTTCAATATCTGGTGTATTACCCGATAATCTTGCATGTATTGGTAATTCAGATTCAGGTAGAAAACTTGTCTCAACAATATTTCCAATTCGAAGAATATTTTTATGTAAATCAAGAACACACTAAAAATAAAAGAATTTAATCAAAAATAAAAAAATTTGAAAATAATTACTTGATGACGTCGAAGCATATCAAGTCCTAATAACATATCCATTGGTTGATCTTCAAGTACAGATAATGATGTTGCAAAATAATGTTTTTCGATTTCAAGTTGAGCTAAAATCAATTGATTATATAGATAGATTCGATAATTAAAAACAAAAGCAAACACACCAAGATGAATACGCCCGAGAATTTTTTGTGTACCAACACCTTTTGCAATGCCACTAAAACGTCGATCAACAAGACGCATTATTCCACAACGTTCTGCACATGCTTTACTCATTATTGTCATTTGTGCTCCTGAATCAACAAATGCTTTAACAACATGACCATTAACTTTACAATTCTAAATTAAATGACAAAGTTTTTACTTATTAAATTTTATTTTATTTTTCTCACAATATAAAGCATAGCAACATGACCGAATACTTCTGGTGCATGTTCAACAGCATGTTCCATATTTTCTTGAACATTTTGCATACTGAAATATGAATATTCAAAAAGAAATTTCTTTTCGTTTTGTATAAACATTTTTCATTTACTTGATTATATCATGAATACGTCGTTGTACTTCAGGATCAAATGGATCAAGACTAGCAAGTCGATCAAGTTCCATTCGTTGTTGCATTTCAGGTGATTGAGCAGCAACATGTTCCATAAATCTATCTAAAATTAGATTTAAAAAAACAAAGTATTTTTCTTGATTAGTTTTTCTTTTCGTACTGAAATCGCCACGTTGAATTGCATCGACTAGTTGAGGAGAATTTCGACGAATTTGTTGAAGCATTTCAGGATTAGAACGAAGCATTTCAAAAAGTTGACGAGGATCACGTGCTATTATTAATCGATTTTTAAAATCAAGATTTTTCAAAGAAATATCAAAGACATACGATTCATATTTCGACGTAGCGTAGTTGTTGCTTCTGGACTTACACCATTTATAGCTAAATCAGTAAAAGTAAATTCTATGCAAAATGAATTTGTAACGAGATTCAAGACAAAAATTCAAAACTCTACACGAGTACAGTCTATTATATATTGATTAGATTTTCATTGAAGCCATTTTCTTTTCCTAGTTACTGAATAATGAAGAATGCGTCGATTCACTAAGTTTTTCTTTTTCAGTGTTATAAACTTATAAAAGCATCAGTGCGATACATTACCATCCATCATAATTCTCGTTCCATTTAAACAATCGAGGTAAGATCGTGTCTCAAATCTACAGTTTTAATGGAGCATGTGCACACAAATTTTTCAATATATAGCATATATGGTAATCGAGACGTGGCGGGAAGTGGGAGACTTTTGTTCAATACTGTATGTAGTACCTAAAATTATCTTTCTTTCATAGTGCAGCATAAAGTCAAAACAAAATATTAACATGCACTTAATCCTCTCGTTCGTGATTTTCGACAGACGATTGATTCAGGTCAGAGTCAATCCATTTGGATGTATTCAGCACTTTATTATAGCTATAATCAGTTTGTTCAATTTAATTTTATAGTATTCTATATTATCTTATTTAGCTGCTGCCAGTTCCACCTAACATACATTCTTTTCTGTTTCAATGAACTTATTTTCTTCATAGATGATATTTCGTTATTTCCATGAATACATAATTAAATGTAAGAGTGCTTTGCGACATTGAAAATGTCAGAGGCTGACAGACATTACGTACATAAAGTCATATCTAAGCTTTAACTAATTCGAGACATGTTGATGTAGACGAAACTAAAATATTTCTGACAGATAAAAGCTCAAGAGAAAAAGTTAATCAAGTTTGTGTGCTAGCATGTATTCAAGTTAATAGTCCTCATTAATTAAGTATTTTCGATTTTTCGATTTCAATAACTTTTTGCGTATAGATNATTCAATGCTGGCTACTAAAAATCTGTAATGGGGAGGCGCAAAACTTCGATTTAAAACTTACACTCACAATTTCCTTTGACACATAGGCGGGCCTGCATAGGGGCGAGAGGGGGCAATTGCCCCCCGTAAAAAAATTTTTTTTTGGCCGGGACTTAAGAAGAACGCCATGAAAACAAGCGTTTTTAAGCGAAAAAGTGCTTATTGCCCCCCCTGAAAATTATGGTCCGGCCCGCCAATGCTTTGACAATATATATGAGTTCCACAAAATGAGTCAGTTTTGATTTTGAATAAGACTGCACGTATGCATATAAGAAATTTGAAACTTGAAGTTTCAGTTCAATCCAAGTTTCAAGCTTTACACTACTGTATACTTACTGAACTTGGTTCACGATGTTGTACTTCCAGTGACCAAGAAAAAGATATTTATTCATCCAAATTGATTGAAACATACCAGCTCAAAAGATACAACAATGAAAAAAAGAACAAGTAGAACATTCACATTCACTATGCAAATAGATAAACATTGGATTATATTTCTGACATCATGCGACATCAGAGGGCATTAGTTCACGATGTTTTTATAACGTGTTATAATCACACAAAATAAATTGCAAATATTGTCAGTCTCTAAAACATACTGAACGACAATGTGCAGTTTAAATGAAAGTTTTGAAAAACTGCCAGTGATTTACCGACATTGTGAGTACACTGACTACACATATTGGCGTTCACTACAGCATTGACAACCACTAGGACTTCAACTCTGTCTAAGTGTGCGCGCCTTTTGTACTTCTCAACGAAAAGTAATGAGATAAACGCATATACCTTTTCCAGCTATAGGTTTCTTAAAGAAGGTAATCAAATTACAAATCTGGCGTCTCAAAAAATGTTGCACTAATTTTATTAGTCTAAGAATCAGTATTGAAGTCTGATTATTTTGCACATCTGTGAATTTCTGCGAGTGCAGCAGCAAGATGTCAGAGGCAAATCGAGCTAATGCGCGACATGAACTCGGCTTTGGAGCCAATGATGACAGATTCTTCTGAAGTGTTCCTGCCTTGCATAGGAACAAAGGGCAAATCAACACTTTTCTCACCAAGGACTTATTAGAATCGGCTGTATATCAAATCGAAACAGAAAGTATTCAAATCCTGACGAAAGATATCCTATGTTTAAAAATATTTAACAAATTGTTAGAAAGGATAGAACTTCGTATGAATAATTATGGCAACTATTTTGAATTATTTTTTAAACTTTTAATCAATGTTGTCAGAACTTTACGTTAAGCTTAAGTAAAGTATAATTTGATTATATTCAGTACAGATTTAATCTTGTTTGTTTTAGTAAATTCATTTCAATGCATGGCGCCATGTAATGACAGACAAATCATCTGGCGCGTTTATGTATTAATATTATCGATTAATTCATTATTTTGTGTCCGATTGTCGATTTTTCTTTGTTATTTTTTCAATCTTTCTTTAATTATTATATTTTCTTTTTAAATAAATATTGTAAACTTGAATATCTTCAACTATGACAATCGGCACTGGTAAATTTGAGCGAATGACAAAAGAAGAAAAAATACGTTTCTGTCAAGATCTTATTAAAAAAGCTGCTAATTTAACAAAATCACCAGCTATTAATGATATTTATTCGACAGAAAATACACCTACTCTTAGTGATATACATTCAAAAAGTAAATCAAATCAACAACCTATTTCTGTTAATGATACTTCAACTTATAATGGAACTCCAAAATCACATTCAACTAAACGAAGAACATCAAAATCTTCGATAAAATCATCCACATCACATACAGTTGATTAGTTTTTTTTTACCATTTCTTTAACATTTATTCTTATTATCTAGTCACACAAATCGAATGCAAGTATTTCACAGCATCCTTCAATTTCGGTTAGTTTAATTATTCTATTTTTAAATCTTACGTTGGAAACATCCTTTACTGTCAGATCCTGTTCGATCTAACATTATAACTATGTGTAGAGTGAGAGAGAGAGAGAGAGAGAGCTAATAATCATTAAAAACTTTTGAAAGTTTCAAAGAAAATGAACGTGTCATTCTGGAGATACTTAACTTTCAAGAGTGTTTGACTATTGCACTCTTCTATAGTAAACTGCTGTTATTTGAAAACAGAGTGTCTCAAGAACGGCACGTTTGTTATCTTTTTATCTTTCAGAAGTTTTTAATGATTATTAGCTCTCTCTCTCTCTACTCGTGATTATAATATCAACGTGAATGATATCCGACTTTTTGGAGATGCTTCCTCGTTATAGTATTTTATTTTCTATAGTCTCAACGAAGCAAACCGAAAAGCAAAAAAGAAACAACACAACGATCAAGTTCAAAATCTGTATGTTCATTTCGTTACTTGAATTATTTATTTATTTAATTTAAAACTATTGTAGTCACTTCTTAGTAATAAATCAAAGAGTAAACATCAATCTCCCACTTCACCAATATTAGTTCCATTCGATGAATCAAATGTCATTCAATCACCTACAGACACAAGTAATTTATATTTATATAATACAATCAAAATATTATGATAATTATCATAGGTAACAAGTCTGAAACGAAGAATACACCATCAAAAATTTCACCAAGTACACGTTTAACAGTATGTTGAACAGTTTATTCTTTAATTTAGAAAGAAAATTATTATTCAATGAGTTTATTATAGAGTTCTCCAAAAACTACTAGCACACAACCTGGTATTATTGTTTTTTTTTGTATTATTGAAAATTTATCTTTTTCCTATTAGGTATACGTTCAAAATCGAAATCTAATGGACATGGTAAGAGTCGACATATAGATGGTACTTCAAATATTCGTTCTACTGGTAAAACTTCTAAATTATTATCTAAATCTAATTATAAACAAGAAATTTTTAGCTGTTTCGAAATCCCAAAAGAATAAAACTGAAACAAATAAATTAAAATCAGCTACTAAGAAAAAGGTTCGATACCCAAAAAACAAAAAAAAAGATATTCATAGAAGAATTCATTTAATTTTAGATAGCTTCAACCGTTCGTTCAGCATCAAAACGTTCAACAATTGCTAATAAAACAAATGCAACTAGTACAAAAAGTAAATCTAAGTCAAATAAAAGATCAGAAAAAACCATAGATAATCATCAAACGAAACAATCACATAAAACTAATAAAGATCATACTGAAACATGTGCTGTACAATTTGTACCAAAATTTAATCCAAATTCAAATAAAAATCAAGTACCAATATATCATCTCGTACGTCATGCTTTTGGTAATATGGTACGTGAAGCTATATGTCAATTAGATAAAGATAAAACAGGTGTTAGTTCACAACAAATTATTGATCATATAATTAAACATTATACATTTCCAAATAATATTTCGGAAAGTGTTGTACGTAATCGTGCTATGTTTACGATTAATTCTGGTTTACGAGCTGGTACTTTACTAACTGTTAGTTCGAACAAAGGTGTTCGTATTGGTCGTATGCGTCATAATTACGCACGCATGCTTTGCTAACAACAACAACAACAAAAAACTAAAAAAATTGTCTTTGCTTTTTTTTTCACTCTTGTTTTATTATGTCTATGCTAGTCCTTCTCAAATAAACGAAAAGAACAATTAATTGCCTTTTTTTCTTTCTCATTTTGTTTTTTTTTAATAAATTGTTTCTATTGAATGTTACAAGAAATGGATGACAACAATGATGTAAGGCAATTTCATTGACAAAAAAGAAAATGTTTAACTTTAATGGTATTTTACGTTTCGTTTTTTTTTCTTTGGAGAAATAATTGTTGTCTCGTGTTTTTCTTTTCGATAAAAATAAATTGAACAAGGTCAGCATTTTTGGAGAGTGCGCTATACTTTATATCATAATTTTTATTTGTAATTATAGTGACAAGTAAGTATGAATAAATTAGTCATATTAGTAGCAAGTCTAAATTGATATCTATTGATCAGTGTAAACTAAAATAAGATGGAATGAAAAATTCTTTATTAACTCATCGATGATTTAGTTCTTTTCGTGTATTTTTTTAATGATCAGTTCTGTTTGTTTTTAATGTGTACATCATCTAACACTACTATTCCGTTTTGTAATTTAAAACTAATGTGCGGCTGTTTAAAAAAAAAGATTCAATCTACGTAGGTGCAGGTAATGAGAAGAAATATATTTGATAAATGTTAGAATTAATATATCGTCAAAATTGAAATATCATTGAAAAGAAATTCAATTTTAGAATTTAATATTCAGCACATATTTTTCTCATACGACAGTAATATTATTTAACGAGGCAAGTCTCCCACTGATTAAGGGTATCCTGTGCTTTTGAAATTTTCAGGACTTGCAGATATTGACGAGTAGAGTAAGCATTGTCATAGATTGAAATCACCAGAATACTGTCTTTCATGAGATATTGAAATCACAATGGCAAAAGAAAACGCTCTAATTTCCGCCCTTATTTCTCCTTGATATCATGGTCAATAGAGTTGAATACTTTTTGAGGTGAGAATCTTTTTTTCTCTCGAATAAAAAAAATTCAGAATATCGAAGATACCCTTAAAAAACGCATATTTTCTTTGTAAGAGCTGCCGAAAAGCAGAACAATAATAAAAGAAAATGCTCATTCCAAGCAGTGGTGTATAGTATTTATGAAAAAAAGTTTCAGCTCGATCAGATGCACTAGGCCGCAGAAACTGAGACACTTTTACACTTTTTTTTATGAAAAAGTGGGTACAGTTTTCGCAATTCTCGTTAGGTAAATTAAATTTTGAAATATTTAAAGATAATTTAGAATCCCAAAATGTATTCAGTATATAGATAATACTTCAGACTATAAAATGGCCATAAACAGTCAAAAATTAAAAAAAAACGTTTTTTTGGATTACGAAAGATGGAGTATCTCCTTAATCACGTTCAGTTGAAATAATGTGCATCATGTAAGACCCTAATAAATTTATCATAAGCCAAAAAGAGTATGTATTGTTAATTTGTTGGTTCTGACATATCGCATTTCTCCAGTATTTTTAGCGCAATGTCAAGATCTTTATCAGAAAGCTGGGAAAATTTATTTTTGTATTTCGATGTGAAGTTTTGCATAGATATAGATCTTTTAACAGAGTAGTTTATTATGAAAGTTCTAGATCTTTTCATCGTTCCTATCTTAAGAAATACAACTATGGTAATAGTGTGTCTTTTACATCGTTCACATATACTGGCATATTCGATTTTCTTATTTTAGCATAGGAACAAATTACATCATAATAATCTAATCTCGTTAATGGCTATCTCTGTGCAAAACTTCAATGTGAAATTCGGAAATCAGTTTTTTTAATATTCCCGAAAGAGATCACAGCATGATGCCAAACAATACCGGCAAAATGCATTATTGTTCTAACTCAAACGCGATTTATCAATGATAAGACTTCTCTCATGAGATCTTCTCTTTTATTATAACAGTACCTCTTGTTTCATATTTTGATATGGAACTATTTCTGCTAAAATTTTATTCAATGTAAATTTTAGACTTTATTCTAAGTCATATTTAATAAAATATTATTTCAGAAAAATGCTATTGAATACACGACGTTCACCAACCCGTGTTGATATATGTGATTTTAATAGATTACATTTACGTGATCAGAATGCAAATATAAATACAAGAAATTATCTTTCATCGAAATCAGCACCATCATCTAAGCCCTATCGTGATTTACGTTTAGTTGTAACAAATCGAATTCCATCAAATATTGTTATTTTATCAAAAACATCATCTTTTTCTTCAACGCCATCGAATAAATCAAAATTGCATCGACGAAAAAGTGAACATAAAAAGAATCAAAAACAGCCAGGCTTTGATGTTTATCGATCACTTGTTCGATCTGTATCCCGTTGTTCTATATCTTCTGAACGAGATCTATCGAATGATGATATGAACTATTTAGCAAATTCCTTTACTGTTGATCGTATACCTCTATTACCAAGTACGGTTTATTTTCATTCACATAATTTATTGAAAACTCAAAAAAATTCTACTTATTCTAATGATAATCGAAGACCATTAAGTAGAGCAAGAACATTTTATGAATCATCTTCATCATCACGTTTTGAACATATTGATTATATGCGACCAATGTCACCAGAAATATTTCATCGAACAACACCAACTAATCAATATTATGAAGCTAGTGACGGAACGCTCACAACGACGACAAACATTTTACCATGTACACCAACAACTCGCACTCGTAAAGAAATACATGTTTATATACCACAAGCATCTTGTTAGAGCATGACATATTTCTTACAATTTCGATATTTTTGTGCTTTTTTTTAATCATTCACAAACTAATAATAATGTTTCATAAATGTATGTGTAATGATTTTTTAAACTTTTTTTTAAAATTGAACTTCTATTGATGAATTATTGATATTGAACAAATGGTACGGGGATAAACAAGAGTCTTTATTAAAAATATGCAGGTAGATTTTGTAAAAGAAAATAAACTTATAGAATTCGAAAGAAAGTACTAATAGGTATCTTTTTTCTGGTTTCACGGTGTTAAAATGACAGATTTTTAAGCTGCATCTGAAATTGACAGTACACACCATAAAAAACTGAAATATTTGTACTCTAGTAATTTTAATACCTATTTTAGTGAAATACTTAGAAGTAGAAACCTGAATCCACCCACATTCTCCATAGATTACGACAGACATCATCTTAGCGCCCCATCACAGACGTTATTGATATACGATCAAAGACCATGTAACAATAAGGTCACGTTATAATATATAAACAACTTCCTTATTACTTTTCTGGAGTACTAAGTTAAAGAATGCAGAAGAACTATGTTCCACAATAGATAGAATATAATAATCTCCTTGTTGTTAACAACAGCAGCTACATCGTGTTTTACATTTTAATCCCACAAGGATTCCGTTAATAGGGTTCTTATTTTATGCATATATAGATTTATAAACATAGAAAAAAAAGAAAAAAATTATATAATTAAAATACTTGTTGGAAGATATTCACATTTGACTTAATAACAAAGATAAAACTATGTATTTTGCTTTTAATTATTCTTCTAAGAATATATATATGTAGTCAGAAAGGTCATACTGATTGATTGAGTTTGAAAATAAACTCTCTCTCTTTGCATTTCACTGTTGAAAGAAAGTTTCTTTAGGAGTTTATTTTTGGTTTTTATCGATTGAAAATTTAGTCATTTAAATACGTATTGTTAAAAAGAAGATAAAGGTAGGGGGAGGACAAACAGAGTAGCTAAGACACGCATTCGTTCTGACATAGAGGAATAGTAAAAAGATAGTGGGGCAGAAGAAAGAAATAGTTGGAGAAGAGAAGATCATTGTTAAGTTTCTATTTCTTCCGCTCCGCTATCTTTTTACTATTTCTATATGTCACATGGGGAAATGAATGTCTGATCTTTTGTGACCATCTTTCCATTTCCTTCATTGTTTTTCTTCACTCATACATATTTAAATGACTAAATATTCAGTCAATAAAAATTACAAAAAAAGGAATACTTCTAAAGAAATTGGAGAAGATATACTTTTTCTCTTGTACCGATAATATCACATGGATAATTTTTCCTTTTGGTAGTAGATGGGATCGCCGAGATAAACTGATTATCCCCGAAAATTTTTACTGGAAACGATCGTTTTCCAGCTATTTTCAGTCTATAAGCTTCTCAAATTACACTAGCCTGAAGAGTAGAGTACTACAGGGAAGATAATAATAAACAAGAACTTTTCTGTCAACATGTTTGATAACTATCACATGTAGAAATTCAGACATCAATGTTCTCTTTATATCCTATCGGTAGTAATGAAACAACATTTATCTTCATATGTCTATCTATCTTGACTGAAATTTCCTGTGAAATAATAATAAATACGATGCTAGTACTTAAGAAAAATATTTGTATACCTGTGTTTTTCCAAAATTTGATTTAGATTTTTTCTTTTTTGTGCATCAGAAGGCATCATATATAGTTATCAAACAATTGTAAACTGTCCTAATTGGATTATGCTATCTATGTTGCATATTTATTTGCATTACCACCAGTTGTTTGTCAGTATAGTGTATATTATACCGAACGATCTACCTATGGAATTTTGTCCAGTTTGGTTTAAATGTCTATCTTCAATCACATCTGTTGAATTCTCATATAGTAAAATAAGATTAGAACAAAAAAGAAAGAAGAACGGATTGAATTTATTTATTTAGCATGCGTTAAGATTGTTGACTCATTTATTCTCTTCTATTTTTGTTGTCATGAAGAAAATAAAAATACATTGATTCCAATTAAAATGAGAAAGTTAATTTTCTTAACGTCTACCAAAAAAAACATCCCAATGATGTTTTCGACCAAATTGTTCACGTTTCGGTGGATGAAAATCTTGATCATTATCTCTTTCATTTAATCGATTATTCAAAGATGTTAATGAATATAATAAATGAGCCAATCGTTGTTGTATTAATGCTTGATCATCATTGTTGTCGATTCTCATCAATGATGGATATTGTTCAGCAACTACCATCGATGAACAAACTTGCATTAAAATAAAACATGATGCTAAATATCCAAAAAATTTAATTAAGATATATTTTTTTCTATTCAACAAAAACAAAATAAAGAATCAGTTACCAGCAATAGAAAATAAATATAAACTTGAAACCATGCTACTTGTATATGTCTGATTATTATTCTTAATTTTTTAAATGAATAAATGATTTATTTATTGTCGTTATTATTGAGATAAAGATACGTATAGAATAGACTGATGTTGAACTAATCAAATGTTTCTAGGTTTCTTTTTCATGTTTTTATAGCATACATAAGAGATTTATTTTTCATTATTATCTATCACGTCATGTATCTTCCTTATTGATAATCATCTACTGTCTTGTTGCTTTTTCTTTTGTCTTTTTCCAATGATTTCAAAAGAAAAGATCAGAATAATCCACAGTATTTCACTTATACAACAATATGATTTTTCTTATAGGAATAAAAATAATAATAAGAAGAATTAAAAATCGCACGCGTCACATACTTATCCTTGTCTTAGTATTATATCGATAGTCGTTTGTTATATAAAGACTGCATTTAAAGAAAACATCTATCTATAATGAGTCACAGAAAAACTTCGACGAAAGTTTTTCTATATACAACATAAAGATTATTAAGAAAAAAAGGTTAGACATATAATACCGCAAAACTATTTTTAGGTGCATTTTCATAAAGCATAAAAATTATTCAATAATACAATTATGATTCTATATTTAAAAATATCAAATATGAAAATCTAGAGAAATATAAAATAGTCAATGATTGATATCGAGAAAGAAAAAAAAAATCGTTATCAAGAATAAAACCTAACAATACTTCATTGACGCTCTATGAATATCATATTGCACAACTCTAGTTACACTTATTCATAACAACATAAACATTATGATATAGGAGAATATCTTGTAGTAATATATCAAGCGTTTAAGTTGTTCATGGATAATCAGAGTCGATAAGATTTCTAATATCTAATTTCTATAGAGTCAAAAATTAATTGAAATATAAACAACATATTGGAGAAAAAACTTATTCCATTGTTGTCTCATACTTATATTCATATCAAGCCTATATAATTTATCTTGACATATGAAAGAATAGATAAATAACACTATCCTGATGATGATTTTCTTAGCTGTAAAATATCATATATTATGTAATATTGAATCAATACTCTCCATATTCAATAGTAAACAGCATAAAGTCTACAAGTTTAAAACCATATTATAATGATTATTTGATTCTATAACAATATTTATTAATAATCCATATCTCCATCTATAAATATATATATATATATATTTGTTTCTATGTATATGAATGATTTATGACCAATGTTATAAGCAGATGTCTATTGATGTAATTCCCAGTTTTAATTATTCATGTTAAATGAACATTTATCAAATGTTGATAGTTGTAAATATAATTAATCATTTTAAAAACTATGTTTTGCTTTTTTTTTTGTTTGTTCTATATTCATCTATGAATTCGTTTTTTAATTTTACATTAAAATTATTTTGATGTGAAACATACGTGCAAAAAAAAACAAGAATAAGTGAGTAAGGATGAGATGTGAAGGCATAAGTAAAACACACATATGATACAGAAATACGGATTAAAGCACTAATGTTGGTAAAAATCAAAATCAAATACATGCAACATAATGGATTATGTTCGTGAAGTTACGAAGAGCAAACGAAAAAAAAAAATAAGAACAAACAAACAAACGAAAATGAGTCATTTATGTGGAATTGTTTTTCATCATATCAAAAACATGCATTTTATTTTTCCAAGTCTTTTCGAACTCGATATCCACGATAAGCAGCCTAAGTTGAAGAAAACAAAATAAACATTAAAATTATTATAGTGAAAAAAAAACAAACGAAAAGAAAAAGAATTTCATACTTGAATTTTAATAGCTGCTGCATTATCATCATCTTCAACTTCTGCTTCTCTATTATATTCAGCTGATGCTGATAAAACTAAAAATAAATAATAAAAAAAACAATTGTAAAATATTGAATATACAATATTCTACTTTTATTATGAGCATTATCATATTCATCGTGGGTATGAGGAGATGTTGATGATGGATGTTGTTCATGAGTACCTATGGAACCTAATTCTTTACGAGTTTTATAACCTCTATATGAAGCTTGAATACGTGTTGCTGCTTTATCAAGATTTGAATGATCCATTTCGTCGTCTTCGTTATTAAAATGTGGTTCTAGCTCTCGATCAAAATCTGAATCACGTGGAACTTGTGTATGTCGTTCAAAATCTTCACTTAATTGTGTTGGTTCGCGTTCAAGACGAGGTCGATTGGTATCGTCGTTTTCACCTTAAACATAAAGAAAAAGAAATAATGACCTTTTGACATTTGGTATTTAGACAAATATATATAATTCGATCTGCAAACGACGTCATTTCTAATTTCTACTATCTAAGATAAATCGTTGCAATTCATATGATCGATCATCAAGCATACCGATCTTACTGTCAAATATCAACGATATCTACTTTTTTGGCATATATGCCCATTTTCTTTAGCAATAATGAAGTGTCAAATATAGTGTAGTGCTTGATGTCGTGTGAATTACGTCGATAACCTAAACTTCAAATTCATCTCTTTGACAGACAATCAGAACGAACAGACAACTGTATATTACGTTTCTCTAATATAACTAATAATGCGTTAGTATTACTAAAAGTAGTGAAAGGGTTTCTATGTTATATATAATTGCATAGATGAAAAAAAACTTAGCGTAATAGAAAAAAACAAAAGAGTTTACATCTTCTAAATAACTGACACAAGAAAATGCGACGATTTTAATTAATAATAATAATGTTTAATTAATACTCACCAATTGAATATTTAAGCTATAAGGTCTATGGTTCTACTCACTCACCTACATTAGTTTCGCTGACATTAATGTACACACAAACTCATAGGAGAAACGATTCTTTCTCTCTTTTTTTTGTTTATCTATCTGTATAGAATAGTTATTGGGTCCATAGAATGCAAACAATATCCACTACTGATGATTCGTAATTATATTCGGATGATGTTCTCCTTTTTTCTTCCCTTTCTCTATCGATAAGCTATCTTGTCATATTTCATTATACATAGGCGAAATCTTTCCTCAGCGACAATAACATCAAGAGAAATATTGGACTGATCTTGCTAGTAATAGTGAATTCTTTCTTTCTACTTGGATATAATGTTATATCATGCTAAAGCAAAGAAAAGAATAAAAGACAATAACAGATATCATTTCTATATATAGACACTTATTTTGAATCGATAACACAAAACTAAATTCTGTCGAATTGTTCTCTGATGCAAATTCGGGCCTGAAAACTTTTTATTGACCGAGTCGAAGTTTCGGTACGGAACTGATCCAACAGGTCATACTCTAAAATTAACAGCCAATTATGATCTGATTATTATAAGATCATCATCAAGATTGACTGAGAAACGTGTAGGGTATGTTAGTCTCGGCATAAAAATAATCGATAAAGAGTATCTCGCATCTTCAGAAGAACTTAAGGATTCGAAATTAGGAGTAAAATGCTAGTTCGAATCCAAAAATTTTGCACTTGACAAACTCTACTATAGACTAACCAGTTTCAATTTCATCGTTTGCAGTTAAATTTCCACCAAGATCATGACGATCACTATCGAGTTTTTCGCTAAGACGAGTTGATGGTGGTGTTGGTGTTCTTTCACTTTCAAATTCCTAAAAATAAATACACATTAAATACTGATCAATCAAATAAAAAAAAATCTAATTTATCTTCAATTCATTTAGCTTTAGCCATGCAGAAAAAAATACCTTTTTCTTCTAAACTCTAACGATGATTGTCTATCGATGTTTGAAATCGTCTTTTTTATTAGTAGTAAAATTAGTTTCAGGAAAATAAAAAATACCTGATTTGGACGTCGGTCAGATAATTGATCAAGTTCACCTTTACTGCCAGGTGATTCTTGTTCTCGCTGAGCACTTTTTCGATCTTTAGAACCACGAAATCCTGCCTGATAAAATAAAAAAAACGAAATTATATTTTCAAAGAATTTGGAAAATAAAAAAACTGAACCTGAATAGTTCTTGCCGCAATTTCTTGTTCTTCTCTTTCTTCTTCACTATCTTCTTTTTCAAATAGTTCTGGTGGTTCTTCTTTGTCTTCTTCTTCTTCTTCTTCTTCATCATCTTTATCTCCACCTTCATCTGCTCCTGCTGCTACTACATGAACAGTCTACAAAAAAAAATTTACTAATATATTTGAAAGCAAAAGAAAAAAGTTCTTTACATCTTTCTTGTATTCTTGTTGTTCTGAACGTGTACTTATTAAAGGTGATGATTTCTAAATAATATTTTCAATAAAAAAACAAAGATCATTATTCTTTTTTTCCTATTATTTAGAATTACACGATCTTCATCATATGGTGCTCGATATTCATTTTCATTTGGTGTTTCGGTTTGTTCACGACCATAACCTAATTCTTGTTGATCAGCATCAATCACTTCTTTATTCTAATAAGTATATTAAACAAAATTTTTAAAAAAACCCAATATATCAACTATTTCAACGAACTTCGTGTTTCATTTTTTCTACATTTTGTCTTGCCTTATGACCACGGAAATTTGCTTGAATTTTTGTTGCTGCATTAGTTACTTCCGGATCATTAACGCGATATTCTTCCTATAATAACAATATTAAAATTGATATATTTTCTCTAATTACAATAACATACTTGAAAACTGTGATTATTATAATACCGATCTTCAAGTGAAGTTTGTTTGTCAGGTAAATATGATTGGCCTTGGTCTAAACGATACATAATGCTTCAGAGATACTAATGTTTTTCTAAGGATGAATTCTTTTTTTGGGTTTATCTACTTGAATTCATTTTGAAAGAAATCAATCAATCGAAAATGGAAATAATCTAGAGTACTTCCGTATAGTTTTTTTTTTTGAACAATGAATACGTTATGTAGATACTATAAAAAGATTTTTGAGTATGTCGGCAAAAACTAGATAACGGAAAGAAAAGAAATGATTTTTCAACTAAACTTAGCTCTATACGCATCTCATCTGTCTTAATAATCATTTTTGTTTTCAAGCTTGATAAAGAAGATATATAGAGAATGAAAGAGTAATTTTTCTTTGCTTGAACAGCAACAATATTCAGAAGAACGATGATTACAAAACAACTTTCTGAAATTGATTCATAAGCGTGTGTATTTATTTTTTGAGAAAAAAAAATCAAGCAATGGTTGGTCCCTTGGAAATCTGTTACTATATCTGACGGAAAAACTGTATTGAACAATATTTCTATATATTTATATTGTGACTATTAATAGATTTCTATACTTGAAACCTTGTAGAGATTGATTTATATCTAAAATATGAAGTCAAATAACATTTGACGATTAAAGATGTTTTTACAAGAATGTCTCATATACGGTTTGACAAATGATACGAACATTTGCCTATAAAATATTTCTTGTTATTCTTTATAAAAAGTATTGACAGTTTTATAAACTTTTTACATAATACCAATATGATTCTACGATATTTTCTTGAAATGCTAAATAAATTAAATATTGTTTCTAGTTAATACATGATTTGATTATATCATCAATCATTTATTAAAGTCTTATCTATCTATTAATCTTTATTAATATATTTGTAATATAAAAAGAATTTTCTCTTAAAACTTTTCCCCCCCCCCCTTATCTAAATGTCACACACACATACGACGAACAATAATAAGAATAATATATTGCCTATGAAAAAGTTATAATAGTAATAGAAAAAAAAAACACACGAATTAATAAAACAAACAGAATTTAATTCTAATGTGGTTTCGAATGAATAACGTCATTAAAGCTGTTCAAAACTTGTTCAGCTTTACGCTTTATATCATCAGGTAAATCATCGGGAATGTTATGTTCATTATTTGATAAATGAATAACAGTGTTTTTTATATTTGAATTTTGATTTGGTATTGATGATGATGAATCATCAAGAAAAACTTGTCGTACTCTTTTTGTTACTGTTACATTAACAACTTCATGTTCATTTATTTCAGCATTTAATGAATTTAAATCAAGTGCTGAGCCCATTTTATCATAAAGTGCTTTTAAAAATGAATTATCAGGTGATTGTGATGCAACATAAATTGTTATGATATTCATTAAACGTTGTTTTATTTTATTATCATTATCTACTAGATGATTTTCTTGAATATTATTAAAGCATTCTTCAAGATATTCATCAACTAGTTTTTTTTCTTGTGCATTACCAATAATACGTTTATGTACGTAATCAATAAGTTTTTGTTTTTCATCAGTATTTGGTAAAATAGTTTCACGAACATATGTTAAAACTTCTTGTTTAAGTTTATCAATTGTTTCAATATTTGAATATGATTGATTTGTTTCAAAATCATTTTTTACTGTTGTTTGTTCATCATTATCATTTGAAGGTGTTAAACGTGGTGGTGTTGCTGTTAATTTTTCTTCCGAATCAATAAAAGGTACATTATCAAATTTATCAACATTGATTGATGATGATTGTTCACAAGTTAAATTTTTTTTTGTTGTTGATGTGTCATTTTTTAGATGTTTTTCTTTATTTTTCTTCACTTTTGATGTACATGCACCCATTTCGTGTCGTTGTCGTTCTAGGTTTTTTGTCTTTTTCTTCTTCTTATTCTTCTTTTCCGGATCGTCTTACTTGTTACTAGTTAGTTTATGATTGCAGTCGTAATAGTAATAAGAGTGTTTTGTCATTAGAACTGTTCTTATTCTCTTTCTTTCCTCTATTTTCTATATTTCTTTAGTAGAAAAAGAACGAGCGAATCAGCAAAAATTGTTTCTCTTCGATCAGATTGATGAACTTTTTCATCATACATATAAGTCATTGCTTGCTGTGCATTTATAAGCCGAAGATGGTCGGGCGAGTCGAGAGAGAAAAAAATGTTATAATAATTGAAGCGTTTTTTTTTTCATTTCGAACCAAACTTTTCGTCTCGAGGGCAAATGGTACCAACGCCTTCTTACATACACACACTTAGTCGCTTTCTTATTCATTTCGTTGATTAATTTTGATCCTTTATGTATTAGAATTCTTTAGAGACATTACTCATTCGTATTATGCTGCTATTCCCTTAATCTCTGTATATATATATATATATATACTATGTGAATAAAAGAAAAAAAAAGTCGTGGGCAAGGCAGTTACATTTTTAGTCAATCGATAATATAATTTTGAGCATCTGTGTATTGTCTATATACAGACGATTGCATGAACTCTATGATTATCATTATTATTCTCTTTGGCTACTTTCGCATCATATAAATATTTGATTGGAAGAGAAGAAGAAAGCTGAAGAGTATTCATTGAGTAAGTACAAATAAACAAAAAATAATTCCATATTGTACATGTCATTTTTGTTCTGACGTGTGTATGTTTGTGTGTCGTCAAGAATGATTTCATTAGAGGAGCAGCTATCATCATTATCATGAATAGACAAACATATACAGAAAACAATCAAACTTCAATGAATATGCGATTGATGATAAAACGTTAGTAGATGGAGAATACATCATAAAGAGAGTAATGCGATAGATACATAGCAAGAAAAAAAAAGACAGAATGAGAAAAAAATATATATAACGAGACGATCAACATGACTGGTTGGTGATGGTAATGATGAGACGAACGTCAGATACGCTTGCGTATATACGTTGACGATGATCGACGATCGATTAAGACAATTCATCTCTTCTTCTCAACGATGAGAGAGAGAGAGAGATCATTCAAGCAGATGATATTGTATATACGAATAGAGTTAAGATCACATATCGGATATAGACATTCAATGTAGTATAAAACATTGTTACTAACGTTTTATATTAGCATAGATATCGTATAATTTACAAGTGCCAAAGAACAATTTTCACAAATTTATTCTAGCAAATTAATTTGATATAGTTCAAATTGATTGCTATACTTCTATTTGACATTTAGAAAATAGTTGCTTATTTATTTATTGTTTTGCAAGAGCAAGAAAAAAACAATTTAACTGGTTATATGATCATATTTTAGAAAAATGTCACGGATAATAATATTAAATCAAATCAAAATCTTACCTCGTCTTTGAAGTAATTTTTCAAAATAATTAGCAGCAAATTCATGAATATTTCTTGGTTGACTTCGAAGAATTTCAGTTGATAAACCAACTAAGAGACTTTGAAAACCTGTTGGTACTCGTAATTTTGTATTTGAAAATGGAATCACCATGATTTAAATATTTTTTTTTAATTTTTTGTACTTAAATAAAAAAATAATATCTAAAATTAATTAATGAAGAATATTCATAATGAGATAATTTGAATTTTTTAAAACAACGAATCACATACCAACGTCAACAAAAAATACTGACAGAAAAAGAAAAAGAATCAAACATTAGAGACGAAATGAAGCAGAACAAACGGAAACCATGGTAGACTGATACAAACAGGAGGCGAACAATAACATTAATGGCTCAGTGAAAAAGTCCAATAGTGAAAAAGTAACAAACAGAGGGCGCAATTTCGATAAAACAATTCTTTTTTTTTCACTCTATTGCTGAAGAATTTCGTCGCTGTAAGCTTCACAAAAAAGATACAAGTCAATAATCGTTTTATGATATATATTTTATATTTGCTGCTTTTTTCGTTGTTTTTAAATTATATTCATTACACACTAAAGGATTGTCTATCTATTAGAAAGTTTTATTTTCACAATTGTGTTCTTCGTAGAAAAACAGGTAGACATCTTACTGATTAATTTTTAAATCTCATAAACAGATTTTCAGCTTGATTTATTATCATATAAAGCGGTACATTAAGCTAATATAATTTGACATATTTCATATATCATAATGCATCAATGAGTGAATATCAAAAGAAGAATAGTTTACGAATGTGACAATTTAATATAGAGATGAATACGATTTATCTGATTGTTTTTTGTTAAAGTATAAAAGGATTAAATGAACACAAACATTCTATGCTAGAAAATAAAAATATGAATGAAGATTCAGCGGATGTCATTTTACTGTAATAGCCCTTATAAATTATAGTTTCATCAACTTTGCTATTTCCTTTTTGATAACACGCAAATATAAATCATGCAATCTAACTAATTTCATTCTTCTAAATGGGAGCAAATCATGTACCATCAAATAATTCAATAATTTAATTAAAAAAAAAAAAGATTAATAAGAACAAATTAATTTCACTCCATAAGCTAAATCTATACTCGGATATTATTTTAAAATTGTGATAACTAGACATGTACAGGAGCAAAAAATAAAACATTACCAAGATCGAGATCCAAGATTATATGACATCCTTAACTTTGTGACTTTTGAATTGAGCCCTGCAGCTGGTAAATATTCAGTAAGAATCGTTGATAAATTGAATTTAATCACTGATTTCAGTGACTGATTACAAAGTGTCATTTAATTGGAGAAATATCTGAAATATGTAAAATTGAGAGACAAATATAATTTCTACACATATTGGAAATATAATCATAAGAATATGAAGTCAAAAGAAAAATTTAGTTTCGACACGAATGTCATTACTATGACATTTACGACATTGGATAATTATAGACAACCACTGAACTAAGCTTCGCATTGACATTAATTTACATTAATAGGTGTTCATAATAAATATATAGTATCACATGTTTTATTATCAAGTAACTTTTTAATTAGAAATTTTCTATTTTTAACACTAGTTTTGTCTTTTTTCTTTATAATGGTTTTTTTCTATCGTCTTCCGTTTACTTCCGCTTTCTAATTACGATTTTTATTCTTTCGTGTTTTTTAGATATTTAATTTCCTAACAAAAATGAATATCAATAGAGAGACTTCAAAGAAAAATCTAATGCGGAACAGCAATTTGAGCATATAGACTGCTTTTTTATTTTTGTTCTCTTGCTTTTCGATTATGTTCTCGTTTAACTATGCGGAATTGCATGCAGCCTCGGCTTTTGTTTTTTTTATTACATGTTGTATTCATGTTGAATAAAAATATTCATCATCATAAAATAGTAATAGGCACTTCTCAGTATAACACTAGAAATCGAGATTACATGAACAAAATCATTTCTATTATTAATACAATGAAGGATAATCATCAATCATAAAACCATGACTTATCACTAAAGTCATCAGAATCATTGAAAAACAAATCAATGATTAATTGGCAGTTTTTTTAACAATTTCAAGGACATAGGTAATCATAACTCCATTTGATTTAATTAAAACAGTTCTATTCCATATGATGAATGTTCATAAGATAAACGAAATTATTTATCGGTTTTTTATAAATAATTTTATTCACTTTTTGACATAGCAAAAAACAAAGTGTAGAACAATGACAAAACAATAACAACAACAATTAAACTATTGCGTGTTAATAGAGTTTTTTGTTTTTAACATAAAAAATAACAAACCGGTTGATCTGACTAAAATATTATCGGTTCATTTTAACGACCACGTCCACCACCACGATCGCTACCAGGTGCTGCTGCTCCACGACCACCACCACCAGGTGCTGCCGCGCCACGACCACCTGGTTGTCCAACAAATGAATTAATCGGTGGACGACCACGTGCACCTCGTCCTCTGGCAATTTGTGCACGTAAAATAGCTGATTTACCACGTCCAGTACCACCTTTTACACCACGCATATTTTTAAACATTGGTGCATTCTTAAAAAACAAAGCACAAGATCTAATTCATATATATATATGCATTTAATTTCTTGTTTTTTTTTACCTTGAGCATATCAGGAAAGATTATAAAACGAATTTTCGATCCACGTACATAAATATATTCAAGTTGTGCTTGACGTCCATCACGATATGTTACAGTTACATTCGATAATTGACAATTCATATTATCTTCAGCTTCTATTAATTTACCACGATAGACTTCAGATGTTACAGATTCTATTGTAACAACATGACCTTCAGCTTCATGTAAGATTTTAATCGGTACTCCAATCGACATTTGAACTTATCAAAGAAATAATACTTTACTCAAGATAATCAATCTGAAATAAAAACGAAATTTTATATATTTTCTTTTGAATACACTAATTGGTGAAGACATACATTAATCGTCATGGATTGCTTTGCCTGAAAACGTTGAAAATAGGAGGGTATTAAAGATGTCATTAGTATATAGACATACTGGAGATTTCTAATATTTTTTTTTTACAGAAAATAGTTATATTCGAATTTCTGATCCAAAAGTATTAGCATTTGTCTAATTGCAACCGAGATATCAATTTATTTATAATCTTGAAATTGAAAAAAAAAAGTAAATAGAAGAGTATCATTTAGGGAGTTGCGAGGCCACGGTTTTGTGAGCTCGAACTCGGTCGGATCCAGATCTGAATTTTTTCCATGAATATTTGGCACTATTTGTGTATATAAACAAGTAAAGAATTTTTCCATCACTTGATACTTATATAATAAATTAAAAATTTTCGCTTCGTTGAAAGGAACATTATGTTAACAAAAAAGGAAATTCAACAGTTAATTGATAAACAAAACTTCTCATTGAAAATCATCAAACCAACAGTAATATCAAAATCTTCGGATGTATGATTCGAGTATAACTTAAACTTTGGGCCCGAGTCTGGAAGAACCCACAACTCCCTAGTACCATTGTTCATATGAAATTTTGAGATATAGTTTTTGCACCAATGGCTAAATCTTTCGTGATTGTTATGGAATTTAAGTGAATCTATTTTGTACTATTTTAACTTTCACTATGATCAGGACTGATTATCTAACTTGTTTTTTTTCATAGTAGTACATGTACGTTAAAGTAACATAAAAAAAAACAAGATGCTTCTGCGTTCTGCAGTATATCTGTCCAAAGTTCATATCCAATCAGTAGAGTCGAAAAACGGTGACAATTACGAAAGATAAAAATAGAGCAACGACTGATTACATCAATGATTTGTTTTTGTGATTTTATTAATTTGCATACACAGAAAGGAAATAAATTTGAATATTCGATTGTATCACATGATTTCTGATAGTGGTTCAAAGGTTTGTTAACGAATCAGAAAAGAATTCAATAGACAGATTCTTGATTGACAAGATCAAAAACGTCTAACTTGGGAAGAATTCAGCAAGTCTGGAAAACCAAATCTGATTCTGTTGCTTTATTTTTCATGATTACTATGGATGTGTTATAATTTCTTTTTTCACTTCTACTTTATTGTTGAAGTTTTCACAGACATTACAAGCATTAAAAAAAATAAACAGAATAATAATACAACAATAAAGAATTAATGTCTTGATAAAAGTATAAAAAGAGAAAAGCAATTGTTCATAGCCATTTGAATAAAATGTTTATCTTGAATGAAGAAGAAACAAAAACCCTTTATTTAAATGTTAACCTACTTTATTAATGAAGCATATGTGACACTGATCAATTTCAAAGAGTCAGGTTGACCTCTACTTTTTCTTCTTACTGTTCCATTTGGGTAATACTCATGCCACTTAATATTGGCTATATGAAACTTTCGAAACGTTCGCATAAGAAAGACTTTCGATTGTTACCAGTTACGAAGTATAAAACCCATGTAAAAAATTTTGACGAAAATTCAATTTTTTCTGTTTTTCTATATGGGAAATTTTTCTTCAGCAACAGTAATAACTTCTCTGGGTCAGGCAGATCATTTCGAGTTTTGATACGTACAAGCGATTTATATACGTGTATAAGAAACAAAAGATGAATATCTATTTTTCAACGTTGATCAGATTATTTTTACCACTCTTTTAAAAGAATTAGAAAAAAAAATATCGACCAGTGAAAATATAGATTTATTAAAAAACGTATTATAAACAAAACGGCAATAAATTTCGTACGAAGATTAGAGTTTAGCTTACATATTCTTTTATTTTTACATTTAATTTATTCAGATCTCAAATATTTGTTGCTTAACATTCAGTATGATTTATCACAATTTATTCAACTGACTTTTACATAAAGATATTTCGAAGTATCAGAGAGTATATATATATAGTCAAAAATTTTTTTTTTGTTTTTTAGAGAAGAATTTTTATTATCACATCTACTAATTTGACTTTTGTTAAAATTTATAAAAGAAAAATATCTAGATTTTTTGAAAATGAATCATATTCATAATGTTCACTTATTGAGTAAATAAATTATTGTATGTTATCATATGATACTAGCCTTATTTATGTTAAAACATTAGTAATTCATTTAATCTCTTATAGTTAGTTTAAATATACGTATAAAATATTAAAGGAAGAAAAAAAAAATTATATTTGCAAGAATTATTGTCGAATTAAAGTTCATTTTTTGATGGCATTGTTTTAGAAGGATCTTCAATTGCATTATTATGTACTCGAAGCTTTCTCTTTATAGTTTCAGCTGTTCTAGTAAATGTTGAAGTTATTCGTAGAGATGGTAATCGTAGTTTAAGTGCAGTAGTACTATCATCAACAATAACCATTATACATAAAAATAATATAAATAATCGACTGAAATAATACTGCATCATGTAATTGTTGGTCAATTCAAGTTTGTGTTTTGAATAAGAGAAAGTAAAAATTTATATTTTTACTTCATGCTTTAAATAATTTATTTTTCTTTCTTACACATCAGTTGAGTCTAGAAAAACAACATGATTAGTTTATCATATTCGTTTTTCGCATGAATAGCTTTTGTTTCTTTTCAATATTTTTTCTTTTACATGATGTCTAATGACGCCCAATCATCTATATCTAATCACAATGTTAAAAATGCTTTTTCTTCATTTATATCAAAATATTTTTCGATTCATTTTTAATTTTGCTATGCTATTAAACCCTTATATGAAAAGCATATATGAGAAATTGTCTATCATTTCACACATAAGTATGCAAAAGAAAAATAAAGTTCGTTTGACATTTAATGGATGTATGATGAAATACTTTCAACGAAGGTGATACTATACAATAATTGCGAAAAATACAAGTATTATTCTATAACACTACATTTGATTAAGAATAAAAAATATGAAAAATAAATAAACAACAAAAAAAAATGATAAACACCAAGATTTTCGGTTTATTCAATAACCATGATGATAATTATTATAATTAGTGTCTGTTGTTGTTGCTGTTGGATTATTAAACTATAATTATCAAAAGAAAAAACGAGAAATAAAGTATAATTTTAGAACTAAATAGTTACCGGTTTTACTGCTATAATTGGAGATGAATATAATTGATCTTGTTTAATACCTGCTGTTAGACCAGAAGAAAATTTCGTTTGCCATTTTGGATTAGCTGGTGCACCATGTGGAGCAAGGAGTGGAGAATTACCAATAAATTGATGTGAATCGTCAACATTTAAACTTGTACGTTGACCACTTATTATTAATTGTTGTTGTTGATGACGTCGATTAAGATAAATAAAAATACCCATGAAAATTAAAGATATTATTCCATAAACACGAAATGTTATATCGGTACCTTAATAAAAATACAAACATGAATGAATGAATTAATTAATTTTAATAAAACATACCGAAATACGAAGCAAAAAAACCACCAAATAAAGCTCCACAACCTCGTCCAAAACCAAAATGAAAACCTTGAAGAACACCTTGACAAGATATTCGTAAATTTTCTGGTGTTGTTTGAGATAAATATGAACAAGCTGTTGCCCATACAGCAGCATGTGTAAGTCCTTAATAAATTTATCGAATCATATGAATTATTTAATCATATAATTCTATTTACCTTGTATAAATTCAAATGGTAAAACCCACCATGGATTTGTTATAATTGATATATAAAAAAAACGAATAAAATTTCCTAATAAACCCAAAAAAAGGATTTTTATATGACCAAGACGATGAATAAGTTCATGTAAGAAAAAATAAGCAAATAATTCACTCGTATGATTTATAACTGAAGCAACACCTAAAAGAATTGTTTTATAAATGATAAAATTAATGAAATAATTAAAAATTTTATTACCAAAAAGTGTAGGTGATCCACCAAGATCTTGTAAATGCCAAAAAAGAAATGTAAATACAAGACCAACACCACATCCCATCCACCTTGGAGAAAAAAATGTTTATGCATATATAGGAAATAAATAAAATTTAGAAATATTTTTGTCTTTTACCATGCTATAAAAAGAAATGTACCATTTTTAAATGACATAAATATTTGAATAATTTGCATTAATTTAAGTGTATTTGAAGTAACATATTGCTCTTGTTTAATTGAATTAACATTTGTTTCTTGTTCATCATATTTGTTTGTATAAACATGTTTAGGTATTGTTGTTGAACAAACCTTCCTTTTTAAATCATCATTTAATGAACGTAATGGTAATTGTTCATTGTTATCATAAGAAAATTCAAAACGTGTTGCAGTTATTAATGCAAATGTCATACAAACACTAAATGCTGCAAAACAAACTGTATAATTTTTTTCGAGTGGTCCACTTGTACCACAAGCATGAAATGTAAGTGATTTGGATTGATCTAGAAAAATCAAAATCATCTAAATGAATGTCATCTAATTTATGTCTTCTGGTTACCAAGAATAGTAGCAACAATAAATATAGCTAAACCCCAACCTAAACTGCCAAACATACGTTGACGTCCATATAATTCCGTATCTTGACCTAAATAAGCTAATGTACAAGCATCCTAAGAGAAAGAAAAAGAAAAAAAAAGATATTATTCAGCTTTTTTTAAACAATAATAAATCGAATCTTTCATCGTTCAAAGGAAAAAAATAACACACGAATGTAAATATTAGTGAATAGGCTTCCGGTTACTCATAATGATCAAAGCGGAAACATTATTGTTCTCAATGACTTCTAACTATAGCCCATAGAGTTCATCTAAAGCATGCAATTTGACTTAGAACTTTAGATTTAATGAATGCTATTCTTCAGAATTTTATGGATAATATAATAAACGAGTTATTCATAAAAAAAATCAATGAAATTCATAAAATGATGCACATTGTATCAGATACAACAAGGAAAAGTTTTTCATGGTAAAGGATCTGACAATAGTGATCAGTAATTTCAATAACAACTAATATGCTTGTATTTTTTTTTGAAATAAATAAATAAAATCCATTCAATTTGGTCTTTAAAAAGTCCTTGATATTCATCGAACATTTCTTTTCACATGCATGTTTATAATATGTTGACAAGTCATTTTATTAATTAAATATTTAAAAATATTATGATCATTTCTCAAATAGAATTCATTTGATTGGTTCGTTTTTTTTTAACATAAATTCAAGAACTATACTTTGACACATAAAATCTCTCTAAAGACTATTTTTCTGTAATGCATCATGCTGTTAATTCTTATTATATTCACTTACAGCTAATGTAATTGCTGGTGCACTAAAATATTCACCAACTATAATAAGAAGTAAAAAAACCATAAAAACATTGCGAACATCTTTTTTATCATAGAGTATAGGTGATGCAAGTGGTTTAACTAATGATAAATTAGTATGTGTTATTGATAATGGATTACCCATAGTATTTTTTGGTTTATTAATAGGTAAATAATTCATTGAATTTATTTGTTGTTTATAATTATTTTGTGTTGTTAAACGATTATTTTCATTAATCGGATAATCTTCATTGATATCTTCAATATCATCATCTTCTTCAATTAAATTTAAAGATAATGTTGTTGTTTTAATTGTTGATTTTCGTCGTCTAGTTGATGATGTTAAAATTATTTTTGTTGATATAGTTGAATTTATTAAATGATTTTGATTATTAATTATATATTTTGTTTTATTTAATGAAACTATTGGTAATTTAGTTACTTGTCGTTTAACAATTAATTTAATTGTTGGTGCTATTGTACTAGAAGAATAACCAACACGTTCAATAATTTGATATGTTGAATTCATTTCTCTCCAACATGAATGTGGAGGTGGTTTAATAAGACCAATAGCAACTGTAAAAATAATCCATGATAGAATTGCCATAAGTAAAATATTTTTTGCTTGTCGAAAACGTGTTGATACAACACTCCAAAATGGTGCCGAAACAAATTCAACAAATGGTCTAAAAATAAAGTTTAATTTATATTATGTTTTAATTAACTACTGAAAAAAAAAAGAGTTAGACTAGATTGCGCTTCCGGATTAAGGCTAGGTATACTGTAGTATTCTTCAAATGAATGCACTTTAATAAACGAAGTATCCGGACTGCATGGTCACTCTGACCCACAACGAATTAATGTCAAAATACTTATTCATAGTGAAAAGAAATTTATATGGTGCAATTATATGCGAACAACAAAACAAAAAATCCATGCCATTTAGGGTTTCTCTATCGTTCTAAGCGTCATATTGTTGGTGATAATTTTTTTTTCTTGTCACTTCTTTTCATCTTTTCATTCATAATCAAAATCATTTTATGAAATTGAATAATCTATTTCTATTTACCGAAAGCCCATGAGAATACCACAATATGACGGACCCATACCCATTTGTTTAAAATAGATCGACATAAGTGGAAATAGCGAACCAAATGCGGCAAAATACCAAAAATAAAAAAGTTTTGCAAATAATAATGTACGATTTACATTTGTTGGTAATGAATCAAGTAAATTAGGTGCACGTCGAAATACTTCAGGTGGTTTCTGTAATAATGTCGAACCAAATAAATTACCAAGACGTATACGTGATGAATTTTGTTCATTATTATATTCATAAAGTTCTGTTTGATCATATTCTTGTTGTTGATGATAAGAATCATTTGTATTCTGATAAAGACCTCGAGAATCCATGATGTTAAATTAATCTAATCTATATAAATAATTGAAAAAAAACAAAATAAAAGAAATCTTTTTTTTTTTTTTTTGTTATACTTTATAATAATCTCTCTCTATGTTCATTGAATAATAAGTATATCGATAAAGAGAAAATTAAAAAGTTCAAGTATATTGAAGAAGAGAAAGAAAAAAAGAGCGAAGTGCTATGCAATCGAGAGTTGCACTTCTATTAACTAGTACCATATGACAACGATAGCATGATGTTAATTATGACTTGTTCAGTTATTTTTCGCTTATCTTATACGACTAGACAGTTAATAATGAAAATCTTTCTTTCTTTTTTTTCTTCACCGACAAGTCTTGACAGACAATAACGCCTAGAGAATATGAAGAAGAAAACAAAGACTATCCTGGAGAAGAAAATGATGACAGCATGCAGTAGAATGCTACGTCTTTTTCTATTACAATACAATGCTATCTGGGAGGAAAGTTCGGTGCGTACGATGTCGAACCATTACCGTCACTCCTATTTCTCTCTACGATTTTTTCTTTTTCTTCTCATGTTCAACATCAGTTTATTACTTAGAGGAACGAATGAGGAAGAGAGAGAGAGAGAGAAAGTAGGACCAGATCACGCTATTAGCTTTTCTTGTTAACGAATGTCTTGTGCTTTTCTTTTTAAATAAGAAGAGAAACTTGGCTAAAATCTCTGAATACTCTTCTAATAAACATCATTTTGCGTGTTCATAGATAAGAAATCCTGAAGAAGCAAATGCATATACAAAGATTATTCAAAACGTGTACTTTTCTATATTAATGGAAATTGTTAATAGATGATAGGCATCACGCATTTATCCTTAAGGCAAACTGGTTTGAACGGATGCTCTTTTTTTATGCTTGGTAAAAACAAAAAAAGAAACTAAATAACATTTATGAAATAACGAGAAAGTATTGAAAGTAAACAAATAATTTCTTATCGAATAACGTTCATTTAATTGACTACTCTAGTCGGAAAGAAAAAATCGAGAAGATTGTTAAAGTACTAACGTCAAAACTCTGTTGATCAATATATATTTATATGTATATGCTAAACGAGAAAAGAAGAAAACACAAATATAAAAGCAATTAATCGAACGAAAAAAGATTAATTTAATATTTTAACATGTGGGATTTTGTTCCTTACTTAATGGTATATTAAATCTATCAATCATGTAAACAAACTTTGAATAGATTTTCTCTGCTGATTTTTATTTATTCAATAAAATTTTTTTTTTTTCTCTCAGAATAATTTATATTTTTATATAAAGACGGAAACTATTTTACGGCAATAATACAAAGAAAAAGAAAGAGAAAAATGGTTAGTTCTTTTGTTCAAAATACATCGATTCTATCGCAAAAAAAAAAGAAGTCTACGTTTCTAAAAATTCTCAAGAGAAAGAAAATAAATATAGTTGATAAACATGCGAATTCATAAACAAGAAATAGATTATGAAAGTGAATAGAAAAAGATAGATTATATCAAAAAATATTTTGGCATTGAATAGGAAAGAGAAGAAGAAAAAAATCGATTATCTCCTAACGGTTCAATAAACCCTTAAATCGATCTTTAATAGGTAGAGAAAAATAATCATCATTAATATAAAGATATAGAATCCTATTTTATATCAACGAAATTGCAAGTAGATATATTTTTCAAATACGAAATGCATTTCTATTATAAAATAATTGATTTTCAAGTACTTATTTCATCTAAACAGTTTATAAGCATGACAAAAAAAAGGAAACGATTTTGCCATAGTATAATATATCCAAAAGAAAGTGTCAGATAAAACCTTCAGAGACATTTCTCATTAGAAGAGTAGCTGCTTTTGAAATGTTATTTCATTATTCATTAGAGATTAAAAGCAATTTTTTGATACATTAAAGAAAAGAAAAATTCAACATTAACAAAATGCCATTCTAGGTCTTCACTTTTCTTTTTATATTATAAGCTTAAAAAACAATCGGATTGACTTTATTTTGTATAAGCTTCTTTATTTTTTTTGAGATTAGTGTTCGAGTAAGTTTATATTTTCCATAAATAAGTTTTCTTGGGTTTTTTTCTTAAAACCAATCAACCAAGAATTTCCAATCGTGTTATTAAAAGGATGATAATCTAATGTAATCGATCTTGATTTTGATCTAGAGGATACCATCGATTATAATATCTTTTAATCGTTTTCCTATGATAATGATTGATTGTTGAATGCGATTTGATTTCTTCTGAATAAAATGATTTAATTATAGAGTAATTATTTAGGACATATCAAAAGTAATGAGATTCTAGTGGAACAAGTAACTGAGCCAATAGTCATTATTATTATTCATAGAGAAATAATTCATTTGAAATGTTCATCGATGCAAAAATTTCTCATTTTGGTTCATAATTCTCGCCATAGTTTCATGATTGATAGAGTAAAAACAGAATACAATATTCACGATAATTTTTTTGCTCTCACATTTATATTCACTAAGGGATTTGTTAATATGAATTTGTGAGTATGAAAATTATTGCAGAAAAAGCATCATTTTGGCTTTTATGAATGACGGAACTGTTAATAAATTAATGGTCAATTCATATTTCCGCAAGAAATCATCATAGATTCGATAAGAGTTCTTCAACAGCTTAAGAATTCTTTTTTGCTCAGTTCTTAAACATTGCTGTCATAACCAGATCAACCTGGAAGAAGAACATTTCTTGACATTTCTTTTCTCATGGTTGGATAGAATTTATTGAGTTACCTGTAAAAATGCTGTTTATGACATATTCCAACGATATTTTTGTAGTGAAAATTAGGTAAGAAAAAGCGCAGAGAAGCCTATAAAAATGATTTTTTTTATAAAATTTGATCAAGTGTTCTAAAATAATCTTTGTCGCCCTCAGAGATCGAAGTTATGACTTATAATATTCGGGTCTTACTTTGGGTGAATGAAACACCATACAAAAAATCGCACAAACTGTTTACTATATAGAGATCTCAACATCTTTAATAACATTTCAACGAGCATCAGATGCCTAATTCGAGAAACAACTAGATAGTATACGGGCTAAGCCCGTGATGTGAATTCGGTACAAATCACACCCTCAAACTAAACTCATGGCTTATGAAGGTGTGAAACTTTAAAATTAGTCGAGATGTCTAATTTAGAGAAAAAATATATTTGTATATTGTATAGGGGTGCAGCTCCAATGACAAATGATATCGCACATTAAATTTTATAGCAAATGAAAGCTCATCGACAATGGGGTATAACACCATGAATAGTAACTGATAGAATGATAATGAGCTAGAGAATTGTCGAAAGTTCCAAAATTTCAGGCGTATATTTAAGAACGGATATATATTGATTGAAAGAAGACCTGTTCACACCTATATTCCACAGTCACGAACAATCTTTAGTTTTGTATCGTAGAAAACAACATTATCTCAATCACGGTCGACACATAAATACAAGAAAATATAGTTTGTAGATAAATAGTTGAAAAAATTACCTAGAGATAAATGCTGATTACCTAAAGTAAAGAACGTGACAAATGCATAGATTTTTATCTATTCTATCAAACATGTCAATTAGATATATTAACTTCATCTGTTTTATTTAAATGATAGGTAATTCTTTAAGAAAATTATTTTATCAAAGAAGGAAAATAGAAATGATTTATTAAATTTTTTTCGTTTGAATCGACTACAATTGAGTCGTGTTATATTATTTGTAAAGTTGTTCGTAACAGTCACTAATTTTTCATATTGTGTCACTAATTTTTCATATTGTGTCACAAGTTTTCGGAGACGTGAGACATATGTAATTGTCGGACATAGAAATTGATCAGTGTAATCAATGTGTGTATAACGAGATCCAAATCGAATTAGATGTAAATATGACATTTATTTTCTTGTGATGTGAAATTGTGGTCTAACAAATATTTGAGTAATGGAAAAGCTCAAGATACCCATTCAAAAAAAAAACGCCTTGTTCAAAGGAACGTAATTCGTACAATATTAAATCAATAACAAATTGAAAATGATGACCACGAAAACTAGTAGTAAGACAATTGAAACGAATCATTTTAAAAGATATTGAATAAATATAACAATAAGTATAATCACCTAAAAAATGATCAATGCAAAAATTAACTGGAGAATATTTCAAATTACTAAATGTATTTTGAATATCATTAGTTGATAAGAAATAATTTGTTTCCAAAGTTAACATGATTGTATAAATATGAAATATGAATGTATGTAAATATAACATATGATTGTTAATCGCATAATATTAAGATATAAAGTAAATTTATTCAATCTTGGCCTCTCGACAATTATAAGCATTCGTATAAAAAAACACTGGCCAAAGAGAATTCTTCCAGAGAAGATAAAACTTTCTATAGAAAAGAAAAAGAAAAAAAATAATTTACGTAAAATTGTATGTTCATAATTTTTTTTGAAGTGAACCTACTTGATTATCAGCAATCATTGGTGATCTTTGGATGGAACTAATATTTAAAGAGAATGACGATAATTGATTCGGACGACTATCAAGTAAATAAAGAGAACCATCGAAGACTTCCACATTTACAAATAGACTATGCAAATGTCAAGAACAAAAAAAAAATATTCGAAGGTCGATTACGAAGTGAAAATTGGATACTATCGTCTTTTATTCATCGAGTCATATTCAAATGAAACAAATTTGTACAAATGGCAAAACTATGTGCACATGCATCTGATCTGCTCTAGGAACCAGTGAACGATCGATGATCCTTCTAATAATAAATAACAAAAAGAGGAAAAAAACGGATTTTTGCACCGGAAATCATCAATTACAAACGATGGGTGGTTCCTCCAAAAACTTGACGAAAATTAATCATGGGTTTGAAATCGCTATGTGTTCGTTCAAGAACTTTTTAATATCAACTTCAGTTTGAAATCAAACAAAACTCATATCACATCACTCGAACTTTTCGACGTATTATATTGTAAAACTTTATTTAATATAGAATAAAAATATGGAAAAGGCTTTTTATGATCATGTGTTGTAATCGAAATAAATAATCATTATGCTTTGAAGTATTAATAAGATTAACGTCTATTAGCCTAAGAAGAAATCAGCAAAATAATTTCGATTCTACATTGTTAAGTTTTCTAGTGGTAAAGTTTTGTAAAAGGATGAAAAACTTTTTCATGAAATAGATATAACAAATGAGTAATATTATTATTAAAAAATCTATCTGAAATATCTGAACAAGGATGGTTGATTTTCAGTGATAATAAATAAAAATTTGATTGGAAAATTGCTGAAAAATTAAAAAAAGAATTTTTGAAAAAGACTATAACAATAATGATCAACATTCAAATTATTTTAATTCTGACACAATTGATAATTTATCTGATATAAAAAAATATCTTCAAGATATTTTATCACAACATTTATTATGAAATATTATATTTACTTGGACACTTGATTTAGAAAATTTTTAATGATAATGACAAATTTTTATTAACAAATGAAAAATTTCAAAAACAACTAGAATTACGATGTGCTTCATTGATGAATATTGTCTAACCAATTTTATTAATAAAATCACGTAGGTGAAGTTAGCCTCATATTCGAGTAAATCCAGCCGATATTCGGCCCCAAAGCTGCCCCAGGCAGCACCAAAATAGAATTTGATGAGCTCTATCGATTGGTAACGTCGAATTTTCCATAGCTCAAACCATTCGTGCAAAAAACCCAAAAAACTAATTATTTTCTATGGAAATCTTACCATAGGGTTAGTAAATCCAGCCGATATTCGGCTCCAAAGCTGCCCCAGTTGCTTAGAATCTATTAAATTCATATATATTGATTATACTGATACGGTAACAGCTCCGGGAAATATAATCATACTATTACATAGAGCTCCTGAAATTGTACTTCAAGTGAGTCTCAAACTTTGGAATACATTTCCAGAGCAAACATGTCAACTTTTATCGGAAAATTTCAAAAGATGCAATAGACAAAAGCCAGCATTTTCTTTCTACTTACATATGCTTTGAGTTATGACAAAACCAAGATTACCAATTGATAGGGCTCAGTCAAGTTACATTTGGGAACGTGTTGAAAGAGCTAGAAGAACTTCCTACAAGAATATCCGCTGTTTGTAGTAACCATGTGATAGGAGTCATACGGTAATAAAATAGTATTTTGGGATTTTTTCACGAATGGTTTGAGCTATGAAAAATCCAACGTTACCAATCGATAGAGCTCATCGAGTTCTATTTTGGTGCTGCCTGGGGCAGCTTTGGGGCCGAATATCGGCTGGATTTACTCGAATATGAGGTTAACTTCACCTACGTGAATAAGGATGAATCTGAGCTTCCTCTTCGAAAAGTTGAGTCCTCACTACACGTATTAATTTTCCAAATTATCTATTTTAAATGTCAAATCATAATTTAATTTTATAAAAAATTTCTTCTATTTTAAATTCTACTTGAAAATGTTAAACCTTAGCTTAATGAAAATCTTTCAATCTCAATTGTCGAATCTTGACTATGTATTATCATTTCCCTATTTTTTCGATTTAAAACGTCAAACTTTCACTACACATCGTTTTCGGCTAACATAACAATCAACATTACGTATCATTCATCACATTACTCATCGATTGACAAAGAAGTAATTCGAAAGGTTCCGCGTATTAAAAAAATTATTTATTTATTTATTCTCTCTTCCTTTCTCGTCTGTTGTTTCTGTCTTTTCTTTTCTTGCTACTCTTCGTATCTTTGTTTCTCAATTAAACGAAATCAAACAAAATAATAGAAAATACTTTTTTTTTTATAAAAATTCATGTTGATTTGTCAAATTCATTTTTTGTAAATTCTTCATTTATCTTTAAATATAAAATAAAAGTTGAAATTGTAAAAATATTGTTTTATTTAAACGTCAATACCATATCACCAAATCGATTCATTTCAAGTGTATATGTATGAATACCTAAGTCAGATTCAAGATTATGTTTATGAATAATTCTAAGATTTTCTTCCCATATTTGAAGACTATTTACATTTATATTAGAAACAGAATATTTTTGTTTCAAAAAAATATTTAAACAAATCGATATATTTCTTGTTTATTTGATAAATATTTTGTTTTTCGAAAACACGTATAAATTCCATGAATCTTTTTGAGTCTCCAACATTGGAAAAGAAAAGTATTCATTCATGAAAATAAGACATAAAACAATATATGATTTTATTATAGATGCTTTTTCTTCATACTATGATAAATAACTTGTTGATGACGAGAATTATCACTGACTAAAATTTATTTATTATTATATTCGAGATAAGAGTAACGATGTAAAGTTTCAAATTAAAAGTCAATAGAACAAGTTTTATTTAAACAAACTCGATTTAGTATCAAGAGAAACACTAGGAAAAAGATTTTTGACTCATCAAATAATTTTACTAATAAAGTGCCGAGTGACTTTAGTGGAAGTAATTTATACACTAAGACTGTTGGAGTCTATGGAAATTGCCTGTAATATTGTGAATGTCCACCACAGTATGTGGAAGTATTGGGAAAATATTATTTTTATATATATTCGACAGCGCTCTATCAAATACAATATTTATTTTTCCTTTATCGCCAAGTTAATTTTTTTCGTTGTTTTTTTCCTAAACGGTACAATGGGCGCGCTCTTCACCCATATATATATATTTTAAAATAGAAGGTATATCGAGGAAAGAATTGAAAATGAGAAGAATTTAAAATATGTGACTTTTCACATAAACTTTTTATCTTAGTTGAATTGATAAATATATCTTTTCTAAAAATATTTTTCTATATAATAGGATGATTTAATTAACTTAAAGTCTTTCTCATTAACACATTATAATTACACTTATGATTATGATGCTTTAGTTGTGCCACTTCTTCATCGTATGACACATTTGGAAAAGTTAACTTTGTATTAGAAAGGCCGATCTATTCATTGATGGCACACATCTTCATAATGAAATTCTTTTTCATATATGCCTCAACTTCATACATTCAAATATTATATTAGTACAGAAATTTTCTGTAATTATTCAGATCTTCGTATTTCCAATGATGATATTCAACAAACATTTAGAAATATAATAAAATATGGACAAACATCTTGTATCATGGATTATTATGGTGCAGGTGGAACAATATGTCATGTTTATTCGCTTCCATTCACATTTACTCATTTGCACAAAATTACGAATCACTTTCCATTTATTGTATTTAATACTCTAACTCACTTATCTGTCTATGATATTGTTCCATTCGAACATGAATTCTTCATGAGAATTAATCAAGCTTTTCCATTACTCAAATATTTGACTATAGAGAATGAACGAACGGTGCATTGGAATTCTAATGATAATCCATCATATTCCATTATTGAATTTACTCATCTAACATCACTTAAAATCACACGTGCTGATTTATATTATCTTGAACAATTTCTGGCTAAAACAAATACATTTTTACCTCGTCTAACTCACTTAAAAGTCAATTACAACGACTTGAAAACTATAGCAATCAACTTTACAAGAGAAGAAACCCGTCTTAATTGTTCTAAAGTAAAGAAATTAATTGTCGAAAAGTTTGGTATTTTTTCAGAATATGTTTATCAATATTTTCTTCATTGTCAACTGAATTGTATGTTAATAATATCTATAAAAATAAATGATGAAAATTTTTATATTTTTATCAAAAAAAATTTAAGCTATAGTAGTAAAGTTATACATTAACTATAAATATATAATTATATTTATTTTATCGCTTATATATAAAACAAAATTGATTATGCTCGAATATCATCTGATGAAGAAAATTGTGATGAATTGTAAGAGAATAGTAAAATCGTTGGTCATCAAGATTTTACAATTGTTCTCAATTGTAAATGAATGTTAAAACTGAAAAAATGTAAAATACGAAAACTATCTCGAGGTGACTCTGCGAAGCGACTTCGAACAGATGATATTTCATCACCATCAGCTAATCAAGACAAAGTTGATATTAACCAGTTTTAATCTTCAAATTTGAAAGGTCTGAATCATAAGTTTCTCTAACTCAATAAGTAGATAGTTGCTCGTGCAGTCATTATGATCAACATAAAAAGACGCTTAGTTTGATTTTAAATAACAAAAAAAAGCAAGTGGTTACATCTGTGTGTGTTTGAATAAACTACTTATCTATTTTTCTTCAGATTGAGATCATATTTGCGATGTGACAGAAGCTGAAACCATTAACAATAAGTATCAATGCTGAAAGTGTTGTAAGTAAGGATAAATTAATTTTCTTCCTACTTTTTTCCCAATAGATAAAGAGAAATACTTGAAAATTGAAAGAATTTTAGAAAATAGAGAATAATATTCAATATTTTTACATACGTGGATGATATCCGTAGAATATGTCATGGCATTTTGACATACTTCAGATATACTTCATGTAGATTCAATAGCTGCTTTCGTCAAGATTTGTTAAAGATAGATTATATGAAATAAACTATATATATAGATAATAATAAATATATTGAAAAAAAAAGCTGATTGAAATATCTATTTAGTCTGATAAATCGATAAAATTCTTTTAAATATTAAATAAACAAATATATTCTCAAATAGATTATATTATTTAATATTTAATATTAGACATTGATTATTTATAGAATTGAGATTTAATAGATATTTATATTTTATGTATAATATCTCTAAATATATATGTACAGAACATTAGAATAATTCTCAAATGAATATCGTTAATAAGATTTCGTCTTTAATTTAGTCTATATTTTAGTTAAAATTGATAAAAAAAAGTGAACAGTTAACTATTATCTACAACTATTTAAAGACCTAAGATAAATATAAATAATTAATAAATAATATTAAAGAATAGTTTTTTTCAAAATAAATAGTTATTGATTACTAATAGTCATTTTTATTAATTTAACGAAATAAAACGATTGTATATCTTATGTTTAATATTAATTATAAGTATATTTATTATAGTTTAATTTTTAGTTGCTGGTATTCCAAATGATAAAATAGTTGAAGCACATTAACTGAATTAGATTCTCTTGATTATGTTTTAGAATTAATGAATAAAGAGAATGCATTACACAAACAATATCAGAAAAATTTTCCAAAAAGTGCACCAATAACAAGAACAAAAACTGAATATGATCGATTAAAAGCTGCTGAAATATTTCTTGAACAAAAACGTAAATTTTCAACATTAAATTCTCATCGTCCACAAGTTCAATTCGTAACTCAACCAAATATTCATGTATATAATGAATCAACAAAACTTATGATTGAAAAACATAATAATGCTTTATTATTCAATCGAAGACGATCAAAATCAGCTTTACCAGTGCTTCCATCAAAACAATCATCATTGTCATCATCTTCCTCCTCCTCCTCCTCCTCATCATCGTCATCATTAAATAGTTCATTATCTGAATGTGAATTAATGCCATTTTCTTTTAAACGGCCACCAGATAATAAAATTCAAGCTACAAGACAAATCATTGTGACACCAGCAACAAAACTTAAAAGAAATCCTTTGTTAAATGCAACATTAAGAACAGTTTTGTGAATATTATACGAAAAAAAGTCAATAAAAGAATCGAAATGATAAAAATTTTCAAAAAAAAATTCAACGAAACTAAAAGTCGACTAAGAATTTTTCTTTAGAATTTTAATATCTGTTCAAGTTTTATTAGCTATTGATTAAAACGTAATTCTAAGTAGAATACATCTTACATCGACATACTATATCATAATTCATCGAACAAATAAAAATAATATTGACTTTTTCTTTTTGGCTTGTATTACTCGTGAACTCTAAAATATATTTGGGATTCATATTTGCCGTCAAGTATAACTATTGAAAGAGAATATAATATTATTTGTTGATCTATAATAAATTGATTGTCATTCGAAGGGTGGGGTGTGGGTGGGTGTGGGTGTGGGTGTGGGTGTGGGTGTGGGTGTGGGTGTGGGTGGATGCGGGTGTAGGTTAGCGTGACTCTAGAAGAAGACACGCTCACACCCACACCCACACCCACACCCACACCACACCCACACCCCAAATTTCATTTGATATGAAAAAAGCATGTTTATTTTTTTGTTTTTATTTTCTTAAATAAATATGAAAAATGATGCTACTGAAACATCCAACTTTTAAACAAAGTATTACATTTTGTCAATGTGATTATAGACATAATAAAATTCAAGAGAGATTTTGTTTTGAACAACCTGTTTACTGACAACTTTAGGATTAACTTAAATAGAATACTATGTAGATGTTTTAAAAGGGCAATAATAGTATCCCTGGATGAAATGTTACTTAACTATCAATTGTTATATGTATCTATATACACATACATATATACATACACGTGCGTAGGTGTCATTCTTTTTTTTCTCTTCTTAATTGTTAAAACATAGACTATTTTAAACTATTATCTTCTAAAAAAAAAGATTAATAATGTCGGTATCAAAAAAAGAAAAAGAACCAATTCATGATGTTGATATGGACCGACATGGTATATCAAAGAATCGCTTAGCAACGACGGGTGTAAGCCCATGTATTGGCTTTATCGTCTTTTTAAATAATGGTGAAGATATTTTTATCGAACATCTAAGCGATATTAGTCATCCAACGACAATGAACTCAACAAGACGTTAAAAAACTTATATATTGAGTTGTTAACTGGATAAAATGATAACTGTTATACAATAAGCGCCCAAAAAAATCATGTACATTTTAATTTTTTTACATATACAGGGTGTCCCATAAGTAATACCCCAATAAGAAATTTTAATATCTCCGCCAGATGTCGACCAAACGAACTAAAACTTTTATTAGTGATAGAGACATAGAATTTTTTTCTCAGCAGACAAATCGACAAATCACTGTTCCTATCATCTAGTAAGGTCGACATCAATAAGGGTTGTTTACTTGCCACGGGCTCCACAAAACCTAGTGAAAAATATTTCCATTCCCATGTAAACATTTTTACGCAAAAAAGTGACTATTAAATACTTTCAATAGTATGCTTTAAGCAGGAC